ATATAATAATTATAAAGTTTTATATTATAAATATTTATTTTAATTATTAAATTTTTATAAAATCTTTTTCTTTTTATTATAATAAAAAATATTAATAATGATTTGCAAAAATTATTTAATATTTTTATTAATATGCTTTATAAGGATAATAATAGTAAGTAAAATTATCTTATAAATATTATATTTATTACCTATGTTAAAGATATACTTAATATAATTATTGCTATAATTATTATTAATATAATTAATATTAAAGGTAGCTTTATTGCAATTCTTAAATAAAATTAAAATTCCCTTATAAATATTATAATTATAATCTTAATTAATAAAATAAATATTATAATTATAACCTTAACTAATAAAATAAATATTATAATTATAATCTTAATAAATAATAAAATAAAAATCATAATTATTATTAAGGCTATAAGAAGAGTTAAAATTGCTTTAAATAATAAGGATAAAGATAAGCTTATTAATTTTATTAATTTTTATAATAAAGTTATTATTAATAATGCTTATTTAATAAATATTAATAAGGATATTAATAATAATAACTTTTATTTACTTATTTATTTAATAAATATTAATAAGGATGTTAATAATAATAACTTTTATTTACTTAATATTAATAGCAATTTAATTATTATTAATAATAAAGATAATTAAAATTAAGTTAATAAAATCTTAATAAAAATTATAAAAACTACCTTTAACTTTATTATTATATTAAGCATTAAAAAAAATAAAATGCTTATTAAGATAAACTTTTAAGGACTTATTAAAATTAATAAGCTAAAGGTTATAATTATAACTTAAGTTAAAATATTTTTCTTAAATAATATTATTATAATAATTATTATTTAAATTATTAATAACTTTTAATATTAAGATAAGTAAATATCTTTTAATAATATAATTAAAAAACTATATATTTATATTAAAAACATTAAAACTTTTAATATAAAATTATATAGCATTCTTAATAATAAGAATTATTAAGATAATTATTATCTTAAATATTAAATTATTATAATTTTTATAATAAATAACTTAAGAAGAATTTTAATTTTAAGTATTTTTTATATATATTAAATTAAAAAAATTAAGTTATTAAAGAATTAAATTATTATATTAACTTAAATTTAAAACTTTTTATATTAAACTATTTGTTGGTTTGGCTTTCATATGGTTGGTAATAAATAAATAGAGTGTGTAATTGATTTAGCTATGGTGTGGAGGGTAGGTTGCAGCGAAGTTGCAGCCTTCCCCTATCTGGCTATAGGCTAGCTATGGTAGTTTATGCGTAGGGCATATAATCGCTAGTTGGCAGCCGGCTGGCACCGGCTGGCAGCTATTATTGATAAGACTAATCTAAACCTTGCACCTTTAAATCTATGCATTGCCTATAGCGTGCTTATTGCGTAGGCACACTGTATGTAATGCATATACGTATTATTCCCACACTGGCAGTCTTTTATATGTGCGTGTAAACGCTTTAAAATCGTGCTTTCCTTTAGATTATTGCTCGGCTAATTAGATTGCTTGGTTGATGTGAATGTCTTGTCCTTTAAGGGGCTATAGGGGGCTAAGTGCTCTGTGGCCGTTGCTTTAGTGGGTTGAATGCAAGTATTTAAGTGTAAGTATACCTAAATGCTTTAAGTGCTTAAATTGCTTGATTAAATTATTTAATTATTAATATTTTAAAGCTTTAAAGTATTTAAATGCTATGCTTTAATTAATTATTACTTTAATAGCTTTTTTCTTTTTATTATTAAGTTGGCTAAGGTGCTTAAGGGATGAATTAAGCCTAAGCTAATGGTAGCTATTGCTATTATATCTTTTAGCAAGGAGGTTATTATTGCGAAAAAGGCTATTGTTATAAGGCTTATGTTAAGGGCATTGCTAGCTAATAAAGAAGTTATGATTAATAAAAAGGAAAAGGTGGTTGCTTTATAACGGTTAGCTTTGTCTTAATTAGCTTGGGCTTTTTTTAACGTTTATATGCCTTTAATTATAAGTAAAAGGTTATTATTATAAACTCCTTTTAAGGCTATTAAAGTAATTCTTAATTATTTAATTAAGCTAAAATAATTAATGCCTTTGCTATTAATATATAATTGCATCTTATATATACTCTATAATAATAAAGTATTTATTTAAGCTTATGGAAAAGCCTTTAATTAATTTTTTAAAAGCGTTTCTTTATTTATTTATAAAAACTTATGTTAAAATTTATTAAAAAGATTTTTATTATAACTTAAATAACCTTTAAGGCTTTTAATTATATTAATAACCTCCTCTTTACTAAAAAAAGGAGCTATTATTAATGCAAAGGTTATCGCTATTAAGGTAAATCTTATAATAATTAATTATAAGGTAAAAGGGAAAAGGAAGAGAACGTTCTTATGTTATGCTTATAAGTTAATAATTAACTTTTAAACCATTTACTTATAAGTAATAGCGCTTAAATGCTATTATTGCTTAGCAAACTAACCTTTATTAGCTTTTTAAGTAATTTATGCTTAAGATCTTATTAAAGGGCATTAATAAGAAGGGCATTAAAAAAAGAAAAGATTATGCTTATTAATTAAATATTAATTATCATTAAAAGGTAAATATTTTAAAGGTTTAATTAAGTTATTTATATAATTAAACTAGCAATAAATCTTAATTATTCCCCTTAATAATTTTAAGTTAACTGTGATGGGCTTGGGCTATTGCCCAAGCCTTATATAGTGTGGCTAGATAATCCAAGGGAGCTTGGATTATTACGTACCTTTTGGCTTAATGGTTAAAAGGTTGCTGCTTTGCAGCTTATGGGAGAAGGCGCTAGCCAGCCTGGAGCCCCTTTGGGGCCAGCCCATAACATTAACTAAGCAAATAAGATAATTGCATTAATTGCTTGCTTTTATTAACATTCTTTAAAGTATTTAATTAAACGTGCTAATTAAGTGCGTAAATTAATTAAAAGAAACGTTATTTACCAATACTTTAAAGCGTTTAAAGTGTTTTGCATTTCATTAAGTGCTTAGGGGGTTTTTAAAGAGTTATAAGCCCTAGGGATATTATGCAAGTACCCTAAGGGGCATTAATTGCAAACAAGGGCTTCTTAAGGGTGCCAAGCAAGGGCTTCTTAAGGGTATTAAGCGAGGGTTTCTTAAGGGTGTTAAGTAAGGGCTTCTTAAGGGTATTAAGCAAGGGCTTCTTAAGGGTGTTAAGCAAGGGCTTCTTAAAGGTATTGCAAGGAAGGTTAAGGGTATAAGGGCAATATAATTAAAAGTTAGGTATTTACTATAAATTAATTAATTTTACTTAAAAGTTAAGTATTTGCTATAAATTAAATAAAATTAAGTAAAGCTTATTATTAATTTATTTAATAATTAAGGGTATTGTAAAAAGGCTTTTAATAATTAGGGAAGGTTATGATTGCTTAAGGGTATATTAAGGAAGGCTTTTTAATTAAGGCTTTTTATAATTATTATTGTTAATAATCTGCGTTAATAAATGCAATTAAAAATTAAATATTATTGCTATGGATTGGTTTTTAATGCTTAATTAGGCTTTTTAATAGCTTATAGCATTATTATTAATATAAAGTTCCTTAATGGAATTATTGCAAGCAAATGGGCTTTTAAGGGATAAAATTTATTTCTTTAATACCTAACTATTTATGCTTGCTAAGCAAGCATTAATTAGTGTTGGTTTAGCTTTTATATAATTAATAATAAATAAATAAAGTGTGTAATTAATTTAGCTATAATGTAAAGGGTAGGTTATAGCAAAGCTACAGCCTTTTTTTATTTAGTTATAAGCTAGCTATGGTAGTTTATGCGTGGGGTATGTAACCGCTAGCTAGCAGCTAGCTGGCACTAACTGGCAGCTGCTATTAATAAGACTAATTTAAACCTTATACTTTTAAATCTATGCATTGCCTGCAGCGTGCCCACTATATGGGCACGCTGTACGTAATGCACATACATACTATTCCCACACTATTAATAAATATATATAAGGCTTATATATAAAAGGACTTATTAAAAAATATATATTATTACTTAAGCAATTTAAATAAAAGATAATTATTAAGGAAATTAAAAAGAATAATAAAAAGTAAGAAAAGAAGTTAATAAATAATTAAGCTATTTATAATACTTAATTTTAAGAAAATAAAAAGTAATTAAAAAAAAACTAATTTAAAGTAATATTAAGTATATTTTAATAATAAAAGTAAGAATAAAGATAATAATATTTATATTATAAAAATATATAATAAAAATAAATGCAAGCTAAAGAATTTAATATTAGCTTTATAAATATTAACTTTCCTTATAAAAAAGAAATTTAAAATTAAGGCCTTTATGCAAAAGTTAATAATCTTTATAAAAAAGCAACTTTAAAAGCTAAGTATTAAAGATAATAAGTATAATATTTAAGGGATAATATAATAATAAAGGTTATAAGTTTAAGGGATAATATAATAGCGAAAATTATTAAAACTTGCTTTAAAACTTATAAGTTATGATTTTAAGCCTCTTTAATAATGCTTTCTTATAATAAGGATTATATATACTTATTAAAAGAAAAGAAAAACTATAAGTATTAATAAATACAACCCTTGCACTTAAAAGGCTACTTTAGTTATCCCCTTTAAGGCACGTAGCCTTTTAGAACTTAGACAGAATAATACTAATATACAATTGCTTCCCATATGATTATCGTACGTACGAGAGACCTACCAACAGCGGGGAAAGCAGCAGCCGGTACTCGCCATCCTTTACGTGCGCTATATAGACCAGGAAATTAGACTTTGGCGTTTCTGCAACTGCCTGAGTCTCTCGTGCATTGCAACTTCTACGAGGTATTCGGCTGGGCCAGTGGTTCACGCCCTTCTTTAAAAGCTTGCCAAATCTCTCCCACACGGTCTTGCCGGTTCATTTCCATCGCTTCACCGAAAGTGCACTCCTTGTCGTCTTGCCCGCTCCGGATTCCGAACCGCCATGGCATCCACAAGCGATGAGATTGAGGGAAAGGCTCCTCAAGTCGCTCATGAGGACGTTGGCAAGTCACAGGCGGTTTCGTGGGATAGCGAGACTGAGAAGAAGCTGAGGCGGAAATGTGACCGTCATGTATTGCCCTGCATTACTCTTCTCTTTTTTATGTCCTTCCTCGATCGGACGAATATTGGTGAGCGCTCTCCAGTGACTCCTTCTTTTGGAAGGCCTCCTTAAGACCGGCTGCAATGTACTAAACAGAAATGACAGGCAACGCGAGAATCCAGGGAATGGTGGAAGATCTCAATATGACGGGCCACGACTACAACGTAGCGCTTTTCGTATTCTTCGTGCCATACATACTTTTCGAGGTACCTAGCAACATTATTCTCAAACGGGTTGCTCCTTCCACGTGGCTCAGTATCATCATGGTAAAGTTCCGCGCATTCTGTGTCCAAAACGGTTGGACGGAGTTGATTGGAAGTTGACTTTTCCAGGTCTTGTGGGGTATTGCTACCGTTGGCCAAGGCCTGGTCAATAACGTCGGTGGCCTGATTGCCTGTCGGTTTCTGTTGGGGCTCTTCGAGGCCGGTGTCTTCCCCGGTAATTATGGAGCCCTGATGCGTATGCCGAAGTCCACGATTAAAAGCTGACTGCAGTAAGGCTGCGTTTATCTGATCAGATATGTACTACCCCCGATTCGAGCTGCAATGGCGCCTCTCGCTGTTCTTCTCCGCGAGCATCATGGCAGGTGCGGTCTCTGGCCTCCTGGCTTATGCTATCGCCAATATGCGTGACGTTGGGGGTTACAACGCGTGGAGATGGTGCGTATCTATAATTCATTCCTGGTGGCTCCCGTGATAAGCGCTAACGTTTTCATACACAAACAGGATCTTCCTTATCGAAGGGCTGGCGACAGTAGTCATTGGGGCCGCATCAAAGTTCTTTACAGCAGACTGGCCTGAGACAGCCAAGTTCCTCAATGACGACGAGCGAAAGATCCTGATTGCTCGACTTGCACAAGATAGGGGCGAAGCAAAAATGGATCACCTAGACAGAAGAGCGGGAAAGCGCATCTTCAGTGACTGGAAGATTTACTGTGGCATTTTTATGTATTTCGGGTGAGCAATATTGTTGAACTCATCCCAGCTCTGCCCAGGCCCGAATACCTGTTTTGCAATCCTGATGTTCCCAGCTAACCACGAAATGTGAATCTTGCAGCATAGTGAACACCGGTTATAGTGGATCGGTAAGGTTCCTGCTCTGGCTAATGGGCACTGGGGTGCTAATCAGCACGCAGTTCTTCATCCCGACAATCATCCAACAGCTAGGTTACAGAGCCGAAGAGGCTCAGGTTCGCAGCATCCCGATATTCGCTGTCGCAACCGTATGTTGTATCACAACAGCATACCTGACTGATCGGATGCGCCACCGGTACACCTTCACCATGGTCGGCGTGACAGTTGCGAGCATTGGCTACATCCTGCTCCTCTGCCAGCACAGCATCTCCGTCGGCGTGCAGTACTTTGCTCTATTCCTCATCGTCAGCGGCGGCTACATCACTCAGCCGGTCACCTTGACATGGCTGCAGAATAATGTCAGCGGACACTATAAGCGATCGGTCGCCGCGGCCATGCAGGCCGGCTTTGGAAACTGTGGGGGTATCGTAGCAAGCAACATCTACTTCCAAGCAGAAGCTCCTGAATATCGGACTGGATATGGTGTGAGCCTTGGGCTTGTGTGGATATGTGGCGCTGCGTGTACGGCTTTGTTCTTCGGCGTGCGGAGGGAAAACAAGAAGAGAGATCGGGGTGAGAGGGACTGGAGATTGGACGAACCCGACGTGAATAATATGGGGGATGACCACCCGGAGTGGAGATTCACCGTTTGATGGAACTGTCGAAACGTGGGAACAGTGCGTAACTGTCGGGGATTCACCTCGTGTGAGAGATTTTGAGGAATGGATTTTCACTTGCAAATACAAATATGAAGCAAGTCGCATTGAGTGCATGAGTATCCATATGTATTTATTATGGAGTGGCAGAAAATGTAATCGTGGAATGAATATCGGTAGAAACCTTTTTAGAAGTAGTGCTCCTCTCCAACTCTCGGTTGACAGTATTCATTTTATTATCATCATGCCTAAATTTGATCAAATAGTTGTTATCAGATGAAATGCCACACTTCTTTCGCATGGCTGATAGCATACATGCTTCTCTCGAGATGCCACCCAGGAAACTGAGATATTACTGTCCTTGCTTTGTCACTTAGCCCCCTTCCGACCTCGCTGTGTAATTTCAAGCAGAAACTGGGTTGCAAAATGATCTCGGCAGTGGTCCCTCCAACCGCCAGCAGGGTGTCTCGAAGTCCGGAGTCCACTTGAACAATTCCGGGATGGCCTCGCAAATCCATGTATCCCATCACGTATATCAGGCTCGAAACAACTTAAAAGAGCTTCTAAGTTCTCTTGGTTAATTCCATTGATACTTGGACAATTCGTCTCGGAGCTCTGCGTTCACCCAAGACTCGACATAGATCTTGCATCTTTTTGCGCTGCGCTGGGACTGTACGATCTTTGCGAGTCCTTGATTTCCCTCGTGGAGACTTTCAGATCGGTCGGTCCATGTCTATGCCAAACACGAGTGCTACAATTTCTCCACACCGAGGGAGATAGGTCGGGATGATGGCCGGGACTAGATAGTGCATCGATTCTCCACCTCGCCTGCAAGTCCATCGCAGTCTTATCTCGTGGCTGTCTGCCGTTTCTCCCCTCTATGCCCCAAAACGACTTCCCCAGCTTTTAGCGGCAGGTAACCGGCTGCCGCCTATCTCGGAGGTTGCCATCCGGGGGCTTTCATGCCCACATGACGTGTGACTTGGCGACGACAACTGGCCTCTTATCTGGCCCAGATCGCCTTTCAAGATTAGCTTGAACTCAACTGGCAGTTGTTGCCGACTCTTGCGGCAGATAATCATAAAAGGACCACTCCGTTTGCCGCAGCTGACAATATCGAAAGTCTTTTTTAACGTCCTCGTTAGCGATGACCTCGAGTCCTTTCTTTCAGCTTTCAAGCACGGATTGAGTTGCTAATTGACCACAATGTACATTTCAAAGCCAACGCTCTATGGGCTTTTCTTCCTCGTCTCTCTCATATCCCTAGTGGGGGCTCGCCTCATCACAAAGAATCGCCGAGCAAGACTGCAGACACCCCGCCAGGCAGATCACGAGAAATCCGGCACACGGACGCCAGAGAAGAGAGTCCCTGGACAATGGACACCCAGCAGCTTCCGAACCCCCAAAGCCCCTCCCTACCCAGACTGGTCCCTAGAAACGACCAAGCCCCTTCCATACAGGGCATTCCGCTACGGGCCAAAATACAACGTTACCATGGGCCTTCGCACAGTCAACTTCGACGACTGGATCCAGCTTGATAATCATTACCCTCGTTACCACGCCGACAAGGCCCGTCGGATCGCAGAGCGAGGTGCCAAGAGCTGTCTCACCTTGCCCGAGGCCTACCCTGCCGCCGTCGAGCTGCTCGAGGAGTTGACCGAATACCTGCCCGCACGGTACCCCACGCTCTACAAGCGGGCTGAAGTTGGCCTCGATAACCTATGGTCCGGCGAGAAGTTCAACATTGTTGAGCGGCCCCTCAAGGAAGACCCCATACAGATGTGCGCCAGGCTCGTCCAGGATGATCTGGCTCTGATGTTTGAGAAGCCAGACGGGCAGTACTACCTGCTTTCAGGTGCCATCCTCCTGCCCGGCTTCTGGCGCCTAGAGGATAAAGTTGGAATGCCTCTGTCGGAGATCCACACCTCGGGCGACGTGCCGCAGTTCAAGGAGAAGCTGGAACGCGGCATGATGAGCTTCTTCAGGAGATTGAAGTGCGAGGACCTTTACGCGCGTAACAATTATTTCATCCAGGTCGACGATGACCTCGCCTGGAGCTGGAGCATCGGGCCCGAGGACAGCCCGGCCATCAGCTGGGACACGGCGCAGAAGGACCGGGCTGTCGAGCACCACATGTTCCGGTCGGAGAGGCAGACGCTGAGGAGGCTACCGAAGACGGGGGCTGTGGTCTTCACAATCAGGACTTACTTCCATCCTGTCACCGACATTGCGCAGGAGGACTACGTTCCCGGGAGGCTGGCGAGCGCTGTGCGCAGCTGGGGCTCGGATGTGAGGAGATACAAGGGCGTGGAGAAGTATGAGACTGTGCTCCTCGAATATCTGGACAAGGAGCATCAGAAACAACTTGATCGAGGGCTGGATATCTCAAAAAATGAGGATGCCAATCAATATCCTTGGTGACTTTTCGAATCGAGCATTTATTACAACTGCTAGTTACCCATTCGGGTGACCTTGCCATATAATCATAGCTGATGTGCTACTACGAATCCTTTTCCATGGGGCCGCCTTGCTGAGTTCCAGATTCAAGTGCGATTTTTAAAGGCTCAGCTAATTGCTAAGTAAACGCTAGAAGAGCTGGGCACTATTCTCTACACCTAACTCTAGAATTCAGCTGTAGGTATGGTCAACATTCAGGTTGCCAGGTGCACCAAAACCGCTGAGCTCTGACAGATTGTGATGTTAACCTGACCATTCTCCACAGCCAAAATTTTAGTATCATTCCTGACACCCGTAACCTCCTTCCCCAAGCTCTCATACGTCCACTGACTCCCTCCGTACGTGATCGTATCGGCGCTCGCCCCAGCTCCCAGCGGGCTACTCAACAGATCCACCGTGACACTGGTGACGCCATCCGGCAGCCCGACCGTGACAGTCTGGCTCGCCCTTTCTGTCGTGGAGCTCGAGCTGTTCCAGTAGTTCAGGTTCACGAACGCCAGCCTCTTTGGGACGTCATCTTCAAACGCCGCATACCCGGCCCAATTGCCGGTGGCCTCGTCCGTGATGTCCAGCTGCGAGACGCGGGCACTGCCGCTGCTGCCGACAAAGTCCGTCACGAACGGTTGCGCGTAATAGCTGGCGAACACCTGCGGCTGGGAGTCGCCCGAGGCGACGGGCAGCCACAGGTCGAAGCCGCTGTGCATGATTTGCTGGAAGTTGAAGCGGGCGATGCCGATGGTCAGGCTGTACAGCTGGAAGTCAACCTGCCAGAGGGCGGAGCCCAGGACGGCCTGATAGGAGTAGTCATGGGTCGGGTTCAACGAGTTGCCGATTTCCGACATGATATAAGGGATGTGCGGTTTGTTCTCCTTCAGCCAGTCGATTGCGGGCTTCAACAGGTCAAGGCGCCCGCTTATGGCTCTGTGCGACATCAGGCCAGTGGCGAGGTCTCCAGCTGTGAGGCAACAGTCCGTCTGGTAGTAGTGGTGCGCCACTGTTTTGACGATGCTATCATCGTCAATGCCGAGTCCGAAGCCCGTGGGCACGTCGAGGATATAAGCATCCTCGAGACCAAAGTGGGCACTGACGTCGAAGGCCTGGAAGAAGGGCTCGGACGGGGCATTCACTGCGTCGGCAGTGGCAGCTGCGTACGCTGTGAAGTTGCCAACGTAGGATTCGTTGTCCTGCTTGCCTTGGTAGGTCGGCGGCCCCAAGTTGCCTGAGGGATAAAGGTCGGGCTCGTTCCCAGGCTCGAAGGAATGGATCCTGTCGATGCCGATATGCTCCACCGCGGTCGTGGCCCAGAGTACCGTCTCGTTTATATCCGTGATAGCGAGAGGGGTCTGAATGATATATAAGGCATCGGGGAAATTAAGGCATAGGTCCCAATACGATGGGCCGATTGTGGTCCCCCCGACATCTTGGTAGTTGTATACTTCAGCTCTGGGCTCAGCTGGTGTAGTCTGATTCTCGAGATAGTATGCGTAGTCGGCACTGCAGACAAGGGAATCAACGACGCTTGGAAACATTTGGATAGAGAAGTGAAAAGTCCTACCTCGTGCCACCAAGTCTAATCAAGGGCTTTCCACCTGTGCGCTTTGTGACCTCGGCAATGAGATTCTGGGAGAAGACGTTCGGGTTCCCATCCAGGTCTAGCGCATAGTTCCAGAGAGAGGCTTGCTCGAACGCGAATCCGGCAAAGTCGGGGTCGACGATGCTCGACGCGTCGGCTGGCACACTTGACGGGACTGATACATAAGGAGACGCTGCAGTGCAGACCGCGAGCCACCCGATCAAGTGCTGCATGTATTGAGGCATCATTGCAGCCACAATGTCAACTGTCCTGGAGCAGATTGTCTCGCCTGCAAAATCCGTTGATGCTATGGCAACTTTTTGGGAAGCCAATGCCAAAGCACTTTCCAGTGGCCACATGATGCGGCAGCCCAGGTGACTCCTCAAACCAGTTAGACAACTCCTCACAGACTCTCTCTGTACGAAATGACTGGGCTCACGCTCCTGCAGAAACTCGTTGGCGGATGTGTACATATGCGCCTCACCTTGGCCGACCATTGTGCTTGTTAGGTGTGAAGACCAACAAGGCTTGATTGCAGTCACGTTTGCACTCGTCCAAGATCGTTGTCTGACCCTTCGCAGAAAAGGAACGTTCGTCCAAGCTTGGAGGGGCCACATATGCAGGACCCCACCTTCAAGGTCATGGCTGTCATCATGGTCCTCAAGATCGGCAATGATCTGTGCCATGATTGCGTCGCCTTCTCCGGGACCAAGATGGGGGTTCTGCGTAGACGAATTCTAGACCCACAAGTGTCGGGGCGAGGCCTTCCCCGCAGGTCGGTCAACCGCAGGGACTATTGCGTACGTCACGCAGAAGCAGGGGTGGGCTGAGGGGTGCATTTTGTGTGATGATATATTTGCTGTATTTCTTGGAGGCTGGAGCGTTCATGGAAGGTCAGGTAAGCTGCCTTGGGTCGTAACGTATTTGTGACTGTACAACTGCCACCGAGGTGACTTGGTGGCTCATGCATTCGAGCGGCGACCACATCCGGATGCCAGCGTCCCAAGATACATGCATGCCTGACAGTACCAAAATGGTGTGTTCAGTTGAGAGGGCGGTGCTCTTTACTTGGCAAGTATTTGAGTCCATCTAAGTGATCGGAACCTCGGATCCAGCACTGCGCGTCCTTCTCATTCGGTCGTTCAGAGGAGCCCCAGGGCTGTCCCAAGATCATACCCTGCATCTTTCCGGCATTGCTAGGCAAGTAATTCAGATGCATGGACGTCATCACGAGGGGCTGCACTGGTAGCCACACTCCACATGGGGATCAGCGATGAGTGTACGCCGGTTGGCAACAACAGGGTGGCCATGAGCTCTATTGCGCTGAACGTGCGAACGTGCTATCCCGCACGGGTAGACCAATGTGATATGCTGAATACTGATATTTTGTGAATCTTCCCCAACGCGCGACTGAGGAATCAGGCTCGTGAATATTAGTTATGGCAAGATTCGTGTTCTTTTGAACTGGAAAGAGTACACTTGCTCATTCGCATGGGTATCGAAACATGACGTGCTTCTCTATCACGGACAATGGGTTGCGACTGATCATATGGTTTCCCCGTCAAGTTCTCTATGTGTAAATTGCAGCCCGAGTAGGATATTGAGCTCGGAATCTGTAGGCCTTTCTTGGACGCGCCTGCTGTGTAGCTATCTAATAACCGCTTCGCGTTGCGCATACTGCAGAAGTCGATGACTTGATTATGAGAGAAAGTGTTTCGCGCATCTGAGGAAGATGAAGGAAGAGGAAATCATGTCCCAAGCATCAGCTTGACACCGTTGCAAACAGGCGAGGTTGCTGTGGAGTTCGTACAAGTGACGAAGCTCATCAACACTGCTTTTGCTTTGGAGCATTCTCCCAGCTATGATTGTCCTTAATCGCATTCACCACCTATGGGGTCAATGCACCCATCCAGGCTCAGTCGCTTGGGTATCAAGTGGCACAATTAAACAAATCCGAAACAGAGAATATTTGGCTGACGCCGGTCCACCCCGTCGAGATACAATGCAAAGTTCATGTTCATGGCATGCCATTTCTATGACTATTTCTCAACAGTACTTCCCCAACAGGTGTGCATGAGATCTGTACAGCTTATTGTCCTAGATGACAAATAGCCACACAATATGCGACAAACCTACTGCATTGGATTCTTGACCAGAGGTCCCCAGGAATACACTCATGAATTTAAGACAAGATCCCATGACTCCCACTCCTTCAGTTCATCCCCTTTAATTCCCACTCTCAACAGAGACACGGCAGATGCAGCGACTGGTAATTGCTGCAGGTGCCTCCACTGGGCGTCGCGCTGCCTGTCTGCAAGTAGACCTGCCAGTAGTCCCCGTCCAGTTTGCAAGCAAGGAAGTTGAGCTCTATAAGACACGTAGGGGAGAGCCCATCAGTATACACATTTTCGCAGCGGTCTGCAAACGACCACCGGGGGATGGCACCCGCAATTTGGCAAGATCGGAAAACTCACGCCGGCCCCAGGAACTACTCTGCGCGGTGATGATTGTGTCGCCCTCGAGGGCCCACGCGCTCGTCGACGCCGCCGTGCCGAACGTGAGTGTCTTGTACGAGGTGCTGTCGCTGCCCACGTTGAGGTAGAGGCTTGTATTGGCGGACTGGACTGCGGTCTTGTCAGCAGGTTTCTTCATTTTACAAACCACGGGTCTGTCCTTTTCCCGGGCGACCTACTGCTGCCGTTGATGTTGAAGAACTCGGATGAGGCTTCGGGCCCCATGACTGCAAGGGAGGCTATTTCACAAACAAGTTAGGAGGCCGGTTCATCCGAGGCTAGTCATACCCATTTCCTGTCTTCCTCGCTTCTTCTCTCAGGTCTTTGAGGAGGGCCATGAACTTGCCATTCTTGGGGTACGACTGCAGGTAGAAGTGAAAGATGGGGTCCTGCACGGCCCGGATCTGCTCTGGCTTAGCCAGGGCGACGCCCGCGCAAGCCAGCATGTACGCGGCAAAGATGGAAGACAGCATGGTGTGAATTATGACTAGACAGGCGTTGCTCGGCGGTCACGCTGCGTATGGATCGTCACCTACATATGAGTAGATGAGCGCAGGCAGTCCGAGGTTTTATGACCAGTTCCTAACATACAATCACTCGCTTGCCTAGGATCGCGATTGGGCGGAATTCGCGTATACGTAACCCCTTCTTCATTTTTCGGAGTGTTGCTGTCCCGGATAAATTGAATGGCATTCCGTACTCGACGTTCGGAGCCACAGGTCCGAGTCCGGAACGACAGTATCCAGCCCATATCTACTGAAAGAGACAGTCTAATTGTGCAAATAACAAAGTATCAATTCGTTCATATTCTAATAGACACCGCGCTCGAACGTATAAGTACACTGAGATACTTTACAATCTAGAAACCGGACAATTTTGCCAACCAACCAAGCCATACATGCTTTTTTTGTCGCAAATAATGTCTGGTCCAGTCTAGTAAGATGAAAAGTCGTCCGCTCATATGGTATCACGAAAGACATCGAGGCCGCCCAATAATACATGGTACATAGGAAACAGGGTCACAGCGCAGTATTCCCCATGACCAGGATGAGCAACATCCCGTTGAGGACACAAATCGTCGCGAACGTGACCGACACAACCACCTTGTTGCCGACGCCCAACAAGTCCCACCGTGCGGTGGTCAGAGCCAGCGCGGTGCACGCGCAGCCCATGGAAACAACGCTGCCTATCGTCACGCCCGCATCGACCTCGACGCGCAGCTTGTGACGCCCGGTGAGCATGAGGACGGTCGAGATGCCCAGCAGCAGGAACGACATGGCGTACAAGCCGCTGGTGACCATGAACATGACCCGATCCTTGTACATGGCCATGCGCTGGTCGCTGACGGACGGCAGCGTCGCCCAGTGGGTCTCATACCCGGCTGGGAATTCCTCAGAGCTCGCGTACCCAATATCTGCCTCGAGATCGAGATCGGCGTCGGCGTCGTCCTCGCCATCGGTCGCAACCGCGGTGTGGGAATCACTCCCACTGCTCTGGAGCTGCCGAGCTGCGTGGCTCGCGAAGTAGCCATCCTGAGGCGGAGAGTTGTTGCTATCGGTGGCGCCGTAGCTGGCGCCGCTGCTCTGTCTTCCCAGAAGAGACTGACGCTCCCGCCCCCGAACCTTGACCCAGGAGCGGGCTTTAGAGAATGGTGCAGCAATGGCATTGACCAGGGCCTTCAGATCCGCGCCGTAGTCGGTCTCTTCGTCAGGGTTGATATATATCACGTATTCGTCGCCCGCATCTCCGTTTTCACTTCCGTTCTCATATTCGTTCCAATACCCGGCTTGTCGATTCAAAGAGTTGAATGTGCGAGTTTCGGGTGGTCCGGCGTGGATAGTCACTCGCCGCAGGGACTGCCGTGGGTTCTCTGGTGCCCCGGAATTAGAGGACTCGCCGTCGGTGCCCGGGGACTGAGGGTAACTCTGCGCGGGTGATGATGCCTGGATGATCGAGAGCAGCTCGTCATATGCCTGTTGCAGGGGGTGGAAGTCCCTCCGAGTAAAACTCTTTGGTTGCGTTAAGACATCATCTCTGAAGCGATTCCCCAATGTGCTCGAGCCCGTCCATTTCTAACCGTCATGTTAGCGGGAAAGGGGTATGCGAGGCGCGGAATGCTGACTCGTACCCTGTATTTCTTCAGGATCTTTCGGAAGGCAATGGACTGCGCGCTGACGAAGCGCCGAAGATCCTGTATATCGTTGCCGCACTTGAGAACATCACGTTCGAGCTTAATAAACCTGCGCTGCCTTTTGCGTGGAATTCGCTCGGGGTCCTCGTCGTTGCATCGTGCAATGAGCCGTTGGACCTGGCTGGACAGGTGCTCTGCAAGACGAAGTCAGTCAGACTGGTTGCTCAGGGGAGGGCAAGAGATGCCGTGAGAGCCACTGGTGTGCATGTGTAACCAGCGGTGCAGGGGGGCGGGAATGTGCATACGTAGTCGGCGTGTTATCTCGTCGGCCTTGGCGGAGACGAAGAGCCCGGCGCTGTCATGTTGGGCGCATAGTTCGTTGTAGAGCTCGTCTTCGACCTTGGCAAGGTGGGTGTCGGGTTGGCCGGGTATCGCTATTGCCTTGGCCTGGTCCCTGGTGGTGTTGGCCTTGATGAAGTGCTTCAGGGAATTGTAGTCGATGTTATCTGTGTGAGGGAGGCGTCAGCCACAGGCGCAAACATACTCATCGAGAAGGAAGACGAGACTAGATAGAGACAGGACATGGTGGGACGGGACGGCACAACGAATTGGTTGGGCGCATTACCACGTACGGAGGCTCCATTCTGGTACTGATTCCTTCTCGAAGTTCTGGCCGTACTTCATTGCCGGTGCACCGGATATGCAGAGCAGGGCAGAGCAGCAAATGGTGAGGCAAGTCAGTCAAGCCAGGTCGAGGTGAGATAAGACAAGACAAAGCAAGACAATCTTCAGTGTGGCTGCGGGCCGCAGGAAATTCAGGATCCGGCGTTCAATTGATATTGCCCTGTTGCAGTTGCAGGTCTGCTTGGCTGTCGAGTCACAGAGGGTAATGGTGTGCGAGGGAGTTGAGGCCTCTGCGGGATTGCAATGCCAAGCAGGGGGACACGGGACCTTGGATGTGAGTCGCTGGCCGTGAGGCTGTGATAAAGGGCGGCCGAGTGGGCGTCAAAAGCTTTTATTTTGGACAAAGGCTACATACAGTCTCGCAATTACGTATCTTTGGCCAACGCAGGGTCCGGCTGTCTTCTGTCGGCGTGGCTGCCAGGGTCGACGGGGGGTGGGACCTGGGACGGTGGGCACCTGGGCGCATGGGCAACCCCCTGACACAGGCCGTCATCGAGTGGGCCTTGTTTTGGCTGGTCTGGGTGGTCGCCTCAGCAGCGGTGTTGGCCATCCTGCTCTGGTCCTCTGCTGGAGATAAGATACACTGTGCACGGTAGATACGATACCAATGCACCAATGCGTGCTAGAAGGCGACGATGTGGAATACACGTAAAGGGTACTGTAAAAAAGATACACACGAGCCCATGTCCATGCCCATGCACATGCACATGCATCGCCGTGTGGTCTCCATCCAACCGTTGCAAGCAAAGTGGTTGGCTGTGATGCCCACCATCCCCTCCCTCCACCACCCCCTCTCGATCGATCAATTGACCAGTAGGAGTTTAACCAGGCGACACACACACACACAAACCCGGGTAGACCGCATACTTCGGTACAGCCCATGGATTGCCTGGGCCGGTCTCCTCTTTGTCCCCGTTCAGGAGGCGGCGACGAAACAGGCCGGTGCCCTGTGGACCCCCAGGGCCATGCGGGGGACCCTTCCTCTGTTTCTCAAGAATCCCTGCAAAAGTGGAAGGCTGGAAGCGTTGCCTCCTGCGGCCCTGCGGCAGTGCGGCCGTTTTCCAACATTATTGCCGCTCTAGTAGTACAGCCTCCTTCCGAGAGGCCGACACAGATGGCCCCCACCTAGAACACAATACGGACTGGTAGACTAGACTACATGATTATGAGATTTGACGACAGAGTTTTCAAACCTTCGTCTGGCCAGTGCCTGCGCTGTCGTGATAATTTTGGAGTGCATACCATCCCTCCAAACCGGTCACGGCACTGGCATGGCATCATATGATATGCCTATCACATCCACCAATCCACATGCCCAAACTAGGTACTGCTAGGTTAATGGCCGGGATCTCAGAGCATCCTTGGGTCCTGTTTCCCTGCCCCGTCAGTGGCCTGGATGGTGAATGCCACAGCACTGTGATCATCTATCTCTTGATGGCTTTCCTCGTATCACATTTCACCCTACACGCCCCGCTTGAGGCTCTCCCATTCCTGGGAGCGGTGGATCCCAATTTCTGACCATGCCTCTCACGGTGTCGACTTCAAACGAGAAGTCTTAAACTGGTAAGGAGAGACTGATGAAAAATCCTCGTCTGCCCGCGTGCATGCATCAGATCCGTGCGGCCACTGTTACGCCGTTGAGCAAATTCGGCAACCTTACTGCGCGTCAAGGTTCCCCTCTTCAGACCACAGCGGTGTGGGCTCTGCGACAGATCGGCTGGGCCTCCGGATCGGTCAGGAGTCGTAGAAGTTTGCGATTAAGTTTGATGAAGGCTGCTGAGCTCCAACTCTGTCCTCGTGCACTCCCCGTCATATAATGCAACGCTCTTATTCCCGGCTAGACTCGTGCTGACCGGCTAGCCAATTGGCGCAAGTCCGGTTGCAGTTGCTTCCGATAGCGGTACAAGATGCGATCCCTCAAGAATTAGGTGACCGGTCGCCAAATCCGTGATACTGGCATGTTTGAGGCAAGCGTCCTAGACCTCAACCACCGATACGCAGTGTACATTATTCCTGTATGGCGCTTATTGTCGGCCTCCACTGTTACGAGCCTTTCCGCGGCCACCGACCCAGTTACCCGTGGAGACTCACGTCTGGACTCTGGAGATATCAAGGATGTTAGCGGGGGAGGCTCTCTAACAAGTTCGGCAAGATCCAACGCTGCCGCGGCTCCGCTGCGCTCCGTGCTATGGGCCCGGCCAGACTAGCCGGGCGATAGCTGCTAACCCGGGCCCCGCTGTGACTACATCAAAGGACGCAGGCTCTCTCGCTCTGCTGAAGAGAAGACCGCATAGCTGCCACTTGCGGCAATTCCGCCTGTCTTGCACGAGGGTGACGTCTTGCCGAACCTGTTGTCTTCCGACCTGGTGTCTTCCGAACTTGTTCCTTCCGATCTCGTATGGCGAAGTTCCTTCCGATCTCGTATGGCGAAGTCCCGAATGGAAAGGAAATGCAGTGACCTCCCAGCGGCCGCCCATTGGCCCGGTTGAAACCCTCCGGAGCTGATGAAGTGATGGGCCGTTTGCCTCGCGTTTCTCGGTACGACTTTCAACTCCGCAGTAGCGTGATGATCCCCTCGATCTGCGTGATATACATTAGTTCTGGTGGCCTCCTCAGACCAGGCCTGCTTCGGTGGCTCAAGGACCGGCTGTCATGGACATGGTGCGCCTGCGGACGGTAGCGCTTGGGCACGGCCTCGCGGAGTCCGTTACTGAATCGCCTGTTCCGCAGCGGCCAAGATTCGGCCGCCGGGATCTCAAGGACGGCCTCTAAGTCATTGTAAGAACCAACCATGCTCTGCGGTCTAGAATGCACAGACTGAGTCCGCTCCACACTGATGTGTCTCGTGGTTCGAGCGTTGCTACCTCTGTGGGGCTCTTGACCGCACTCGCAAGGCAAGTTCGTGCAGAAATACAGCCCAGACTCGGCGTCGTCATTGTTCAGCAGGTGACAGGTTGATGTGCTACTGACGCGTGGAACGGTTGTAATATTCATGCAGGATGCCACATGCTCGCAGAGGTGGATTCGCCTCGAGTAGCAAGCAAACGGACAAGCAAACCAAAGCGAAGGACAGCAACCACAACATCCCAACAGCTGCTCGCGTGACCTCCTTCCTTATTTGACTCACAATGGCCGATGCTCGTTGCTAATGCACGTCACTGACAGGAGTGGTGTGTAGCAAGAGTCAGTACAGCTGCTACAAGTGGGCCTTTCCTTCACAGGATGCTGGTGTTCAGGAGATTATTGGCGGCCGCTGCTGGAGGTCGCTAACAGTCAAGTGTGTTGCCCATAATAGATGGCGTCAGCCTTGGATGGGTGCATGTGTGCGGCACTTGTGAAGGTGGCGGAAGGAGAGACCACCGTACTTCCGCGCTCAAGTGACAGCGTGAGAAGCAATTATTCAATAATATCAGTTAAATGGTACGCAATGATCCTTCGCCACTCGACGGAGATAACAGGAGATCCCTCAATGCCGTGGTGTCTCTTTTACGGAAAGCGAATCGTCGCAGGTGGGCAGCTTGTGCAAGGCCAGATGCAAATGCAATGCAGTCGAGTAACCAAGGCAGCCGCAGCCAACAGCCGCATGGGAGGTTACTCAAGTGACAGCTACTAAACGCAGACATCTATCTCCACATGGTCCCAATTCTCGACTCCTTCACGAGGGTCTGGTCGAATTTCTCAGTTCCGACGTTCTTGATCCACTTTGCGGGCCATGTACCGTATCACCTAGACTGCAATAGGTAGACCATGCAAATACCGTGTTCGGTATGTGAAGTGTCCAACGGTACAAATTATACGCACAGTACCTAGGTACCAGGTATCTAAGCAGAAAAGGCTGCACTAGGCAGGGGCCCGCACTTCAACGGCCCACACCGCCCAACCAATCAACTCGTTTTCCCTTGCGACGGCCAAATTTTTTTTCTGCAGTTGCCTTTGAAGCCTCGCCAAACCGCCGCAGCTGCACCGAAAAATGCAACCAGAAATCAACTCACCCCCAGCCGGCCCGCGAAACCGATCGTGACGCCGCACAACCCCTGCCGAGCATCGCGAGACCGAAAATGGCTGGAGAAGGCAGCACCACCTCGTCGCTAACCTCCACATCGCACACGCTCACACACCCCGCGCCGACCAGCAACGCCATGGCCGCAACCACCACCGCCCCGCTCGAGGCAGCTTCCATGTTGGCCTTCCTCGATTCCCTCAAAGCGGAGAACCGCCATGCCTTCCTCCAGCCTCCGGCCTCAATATCCACGGCGTCTCTGCATTGGGCCAAGCAGGCGCTCGACGCCTTCGCCGGACAGGTCAGCGACGAGCAGCAGGCCGCCCGGCTGCGGGACAGGAAGAGGAAACGAGAGGTTGGGCCAAGTGGTGACATGTTGAAGATCCGCAAGGTTCATGTGGATGGCTTCGAGACCGGCCAGGTCTGGCAGCAGACCAGGAGGATCATAAACAGCGCCCTCAGCCTGTCTCAAAATGTCCTGCAGGAGCTGGAAGAGAATGGTCAGATCCAGACAGATGAAGTTGAGTCCAGAACACCGAACGGCGACGCACAAACGCTACCGAGCGACGAGGGTGAATCTGAAGACGCCTCGTCCCAAGGGGACGAGTCAGCCAGCGGATCGGACGAGGACGGTGAGGAAAAGTGGGAAGACGCCGAGTCGCAGCAGGGTCAGAGTGAAGCCTCACTAGATGGCGACGAAGACGATGGCGAGGATATCGAGGATATTGAGCATGAAGGGATACAAGATGAAGATGACGAAGACGGCTTTGACGACCAACCAAACGATGTTTACGTCGAGGATCCAAACGGGCTCAATGACGGATTCTTCTCAATAGACGACTTCAACAAGCAATCGCAATACTTCGAGGACCAAGACGCCAAAGCTGATCCGTTTACGGACCAGGCAGACGACGATGACGAGATTGACTGGCACGGAGACCCTTTCGCAGGGCCCAAGGGCAAGGCGTCAAAGAACGCCAAGGGAGAGGAAGCGTCGGGGGCCGAGGATGAGGAAGATGACGAGGACGAAGATGCTGGCCCGACGTTCGGAGACATGGACCTGAACGCCCCGGAAGGTGCAAGTGATGACGAAGGCGATCTGGCAGACGGGATTGAGGGGGACATGGGGCTCGACCTCACAGCGAACGATATCTTCTACAACGACTTTTTCGCACCTCCGCCTAGGAAGGCAAAGAAGGGAGAGAAGCAGAGAAAACCCAAGCCGACGAGGCAGGGGACGCCAGATGGGCAGGAGGTGGAGTGGGCTATGGACAAGGTCCGACGGGATCTCTTCGACGACGTATCAGATAACTCGGACGATGAGGACGCTTTGTCAGACGCGTCTGCTGGCGACCCAAAGTCACGCCGGTCAGCACATGAACGTAGGCAAGCCAAGCTGTCCGAGGAGATTCGCAAGATGGAAGCCGAGCTCGTGGCCAAGCGCGCCTGGACGCTCTCCGGTGAGGCTTCCGCGTCCGCACGCCCAATGAACTCGTTGCTGGAGGAGGATCTGGACTTTGAGCACGCGGGCAAGCCCATCCCCGTCATCACGGAAGAGGTCAGCGAGGAGATCGAAGACCTCATCAAGCGGCGCATTATTGTAGGCGAGTTCGACGGGGTCCCAAAGCGGAGGCCGGACGCGGACGTGCCTGCTGACGTCCGGCGCGGGCTTGTCGAGCTTGACGACGCCAAGGCGAAGCAGAGCCTGGCGGAGATCTACGAGGAAGACCACGTCAAGGCCACGAATCCAGATTCGTACGTCAACGCCAAGGACGAGAAGCTACGTAGGGAGGAGAAGGAGATCGAGGCAATGTGGAAGGACGTCTCAGCAAAGCTCGACTCCCTTAGCAGCTGGCATTACAAGCCCAAGCCAGCGGCGCCGTCGCTGCAAGTCGTGGCGGACGTCGCCACGCTTGCCATGGAGGACGCACAACCCACGACGGCACAGGGCGTCAGCGGTGGCGAGAGCATGATTGCACCTCAGGAGGTCTACAACCCGGGCAAGGACACGGCAGAGAAGGGCGAGGTGGTGGCCAAGAGCGGGCTGCCGGTCGCGAGGCAGGAGATGAGCCGGGAAGACAAGGTGCGCAGACGCCGGCGGGAGAAGGAGAGGATCAAGAAGGCCCGGCGGGGAGACGAACAAGATCGGCAAGAAGGCGCAGGAGAAGAAGGATACGATGGCAGAGCTCAAGAAGGGTGGCGTCAAGGTCATCAACAGGAAGGGCGAGGTCATGGACATGGAGGGCAAGAAGCCGCAGGCCGCCAAGGCTGTCACCAGCGGGAGCTTCAAGTTGTAGATGCCAAGTACTGTATTTTCGAGGTATCACAGGAAAGCATCATTCACGAGGTCAGCTCTGTACTCATTTGTCGGGCGTCGAGAAGGCGAACAATTGCTATATCTGCCCATCCTCAATACGCCGAAAAGGAGCCGCGGTTGTGCAAGCCAAACGTTGGCAGGCTGTACTGAAGACAGCCTAGGATGTCTTGATCAAGTTCGAAGACCATCCAGGCTTCACAGGATATTCAATACAGCCCGGCTTGATCTCATGGAGACTTAGGAATAGCGCTGCTAGAGCGTTATTGCTATATACGAGGAGGTAACTAACGAATTCGTACAATCCAGATCGTCATGGAATTGTGTCTGACGTCGAATTGTCGCCATCCAACTCGACCTAATGAGGACCTTGGATATGTGCCGTCAACAATTCTGCTCTCACCAATGCGAACATGTCTTCAATTTTTTTTTTTTTTGGACTATCAGATTATATCTGGTGTGTGAACGGTATTTTGTATGGACGCTGGTGCATGGCAAAGTGATCTCAAAATAGTCTTGTCGAATCCACACAACCGTCTTCGTGTGGCACTGGAAGTGAGAAATTGTTAGTGTTCTCGCCGCTGAGCCGTGGTGACGTGCACGATCCGGACGGCAGCGATTGAAGGCCGCGGCTCTTTGGACCCACCCGACAAGGCCTGACCAATCAGGTTCGCCAGGTTGGTGATCAAGCGGCGATTTCTAGCGCGCACCTCACTTCGCAACGCTCTTCCCCAGACCGAGAGTGTGTCTTCAGCAGCGTCCCTAGCCTTCGACCGCAGCAACCGACCTCCCTCTCCACTCCTTTTTTCTGTTCCCGCCGAAGACTCGACCGGGTATCTCACATTCAGATCCACAATGTCGGGCGCATTACGGACGTCGGCCTCAATGGCTCTGAGAGGTGTGTAAAAGCAGCAGCACATTACAGCCCAGCACGAAACGATCCCGACCTCGATAGACACAGCCAGTGTTGGCGGATGGATGGAGATCATGTAAACTGACAGGCATATTGCCACTGCAGCCAAGCCGACACACTTCCTCACCCCCTACCGCGTCGCCGTCGCCTCCATATCCTCCTCGACAAAGAACAACGCCGCACAGGTCCAACCCCACGGTGCCTCGACATCGCTGCTCAAGCCTCAACGGAAGGAAGTTCCCCTGGCGAGCCAGGAAGGCACAAAAGGCGTGGTTCAATATGTCCTGTACGTCCCAGAGCTGTCTTATACCCGGCGTTGAAAGCCCAGAATCCACATGGCAGGCGGTGCTTCACCAAGAGCAAGAGGCTAACAAGCATCACCGAACAGCACGACCCTCGACCAGATTGTCAACTGGGGCCGGCAGTCATCCTTCTGGCCCGTGACCTTCGGGCTGGCGTGCTGCGCCCTGGAGATGATGCATCTCTCGACCCCGCGTTACGACCAGGACCGCATGGGCATTATCTTCCGTGCCTCGCCCCGGCAGTCGGACGTCATGATCGTGGCGGGGACCCTGACCAACAAGATGGCGCCCGCCCTGCGCCAGGTCTACGACCAGATGCCCGAGCCCCGCTGGGTCATCTCCATGGGCTCCTGCGCCAACGGCGGAGGCTACTACCACTACAGCTACAGCGTCGTCCGCGGGTGCGACCGCATCGTCCCCGTCGACGTCTACGTCCCCGGCTGCCCGCCCACCAGCGAGGCCCTCATGTACGGCATCTTCCAGCTGCAGAGGAAGATGAGGGAGACCAAGATTACGAGGATGTGGTACCGGAAGTAGGCTATTCGTGCTGGGGGCTGTGTTGGTGATGGTTGTGACGAACTGGTGGTGCCAGTGGTGGCTATGAGACGGGTTATGAGGACAGAGAGAATGATAGTGTCCCAGAGGAGGAGTCTACGGAAAAGGCAGTATGGCCAGGCCGCAGGTTTTCCCAGGCATGGCCGTCATTTTCAGCGGATAGGGCCTATCTGGGTCGAGGATGGAATAAACAAAAAACACACAGCTGGCATACATCGTGGCCGCTTTCTTTCATTTGTTCACCACGCGTGTTCTGTACATAACCGTGTGGGACTAGTCGGGAGGGAACGGAGTGCTGAGCAAGGTAGACATCGATATTGCAACTCATTAACCGCCGGGCTTTCTTCACCACTTTGGGGCGGTGCAATAGCTGCTTAAGGGGGCGCAGTATGTTACCTGCGTCGTATTCCGCTTGAGGGTGTGCCGGACACTCAGTCACACTGCGAGACTATCTGGAGGAGGCCTCGGCCACCTCAAGCCAATTGCTGTCTTCAGAATACGTCCGCTCGAGGACACACAAGCTCCACTGTCCAAATAAGTCAGATAGCAACTGAATATGGAAGGGCACAAGGCTCAACCGATGGGTCCCTGGCTGGGACTCGACAGCCAGCTACGGAGCAGCCTCCTCCTCCTGCCATGCGGCTTCCAGAAGGATCAATATGCAGTGTGGCTTTTCCCCCATGCCGGTGTCCCATCCCTTATAGGTGCAGACCTGTGGTAACTTGTCACTCATCCTCACTCGCCTCTGCAAATCTGCCCATGCTCCGAGAGCCCGTCACCGTCTCCGTCTCCGTTTCTGTGCGCACCTTCCCCCCTCTCCCACGGTACCGTGCCAGGGCACAGAAGCTCCTACAACCAGTGCAAAGGGCAAAGGGCGGGTCTCTCGAGCCAGCCAGATCTCGTCTGTCTTTTTTTGTCTTTTCATCCCGGCATTATTAGGTGGCCATACTGAGGATCGCCAGGGGACCGGTGGAAGTGGGCGTAGAGGATTTAGTGTAGGATCCAGAACGAAAATATCGAAATACGACGGTTATGAACGCGCGTATAATGCAAACGGCGTCAGTACCGTTAAGACGAAGTAGGCCGGGACACTTGTGCCCCATGGGACGGACAAATTACCCTGTCCTCATGCCTGATTGGGGTGAAGATCCGAGAATGCACCAAAAGAGATATTCACGACCTCGCTCCAGACATTGGAGTGGAAGTACAGCGTTTCTAATTCCTGAAGCTTAGAATGCCCGCCCTCGCATCCGCCCAATTTGTCCCTCGAAACAGCGTTGCTATAAACGACAGACTCTGTGGAGACTTGTGTGTCCAGTCTCGACTAAATGTGTAATAAAAAAACGAACACCATCCTGTTTCTCTCCAAAGCAGTGTGTGGATGATGGCCAATGTCTCCGTACTACAAAGAATACATGCTGTCTGTGTCGGTCCAATGACGCCTGAACGCCTTCCAGTAGTAGTTATAACTTCCTCTCACGCGCTCGCGCCCCTTCCCTCTTCGTTAGGGCCGCTGTATGCTGCCCGTCGCTGGTTGTTCGTCTTTCGATCCCTGTGAGACTGTCCAGGACGCGTCCTCTTTTTACGTAAAGCACAGCCTCCAGTGTTTATTCTTGTCCGAAACCCATGGTCTCTTCGACCGCGATGGTGAGTTTCTGCTGTAACTGCTCAAGAGACTTGTATGGCGGCAAGTCCAAGCGGTTGAAACTGTGGATTGGTCAGTAAATTGATAGTAGATGTTGTGCAAACAAGTCTGAGAACGTATACGTACCAAGTGTGGGCCTTCGGCAGGTTGTTGACCTCACCTGCCTTCTCGATAGTAAATCTACGCGGACCATCGCTGCCTTGCAGGTCCTTGAAACCGTTGACTGGGATCCTCGATGTGCCAGTCGTGAACTGCAGGAGTCGACTCTTCTGCTCTCCATCCCAGCTGCGCACCGTCTGCCAGAAGAACTGAATCACCTCGTCACTTTCCGTGTATCCACGGTAGTCGGTATGCTTCTTCCAATCATCCACGTCGATCTCAGCGATACCTCCAATGAGCAGCTCGAGCTCACGCTCATCAAAGACATTGATGAGGTCTTGAGGGATGAGCTCATGGAACCCCTCTCTGAAGGCCTGGAATTGCTCCGCGATACGTTTCTCAATGCGCCATTTGACCATCAAATCAACATACTCCTTCTTGTTGTCATTGGTGACGTCGATATCGCGGCCACCTGGAATAAGGTCCTCGACGGTAATGACACCGAAACGTTCGTCTTCCGTGGAAAAGGTCTGTTCCAATATGCCACCAGAAATATCGTTGTCCAGCATCCACTGGAGAGACCTGTGGAAGTCCGCATCCACGCCCTCCATGTCTGCCAAAACCACAGACTTGCCGAGAATCATCTTGTATAACGCGCCGATGAAGAATGCATCGAGGAAACGCCTGTGGAAGATGGCCAGGCCCACCACACGGCCGATGAACTTGAAGTAATTAAGATGCTCAGGGTTGATGCCTGAGTGAGGGTTGATTTGAAGGGTGTAATTGTCGTGTGCCGAGTACTCGAATAGGCAGTAGAAGGGATTGAACATCTCGTGAGAGAGAAGGAAGAAGAACTCTCGGGACAGGCCGCCATAGTCAAGACCATCCTCGCCATCAAACTTGATCATAAGTCGCTTCTTCAGGTCAGTAGCAGACTGGCGCGAAATTTCGGCGAAGGAATCCTCGAAGATATGTGATCGGCGAATCTTGATATGGCATTGCCCGGAGAGTATTCGCATGGCGGGTTGGGACCGGAAGTAGATGAGTTTGCGCCGGAAGTCGCGCTTGTACTGCGGCACATTTTGATCCAACGAAGACGGCAAACGTGGATCGTCCCAAGTCGTCGTTTTGGTGTTGTGATCGACGAAATAGACCCGAGCAGTGTTCGTAAGCCGCATTTCCCACCCGCTTGGAAGGGGACCCAGTTGAGACACGGGCTGCTGCTGAATGGTCCCACTGGCGTTGTTTTGGCCGCCATACATCCTAATGTATTGCTGCCTCCTAGGATCAACCCATGTCGTGGTCCTGGTGTTGTGGTCAACAAAGTAGGGCCGCCCTTCGGGCGTAAAACGCTGCTCCCACCCAGGAGGGAGTTCGCCCGTGCCGGGGCTCGTGGCCCCAGTGTGCATCATTGTCTGCGCATTCGCACTCTGCGCCGCCTGCTGAGCCTGCAGGGTAGGGGAGCTAGAACCTGTTCTATCTTCAGGCAGCGTCCGGTTCTGATGTCTCTGTCGCTCGACTTGTGTAGACTCCTCTTGTCTCGCCGTGTTAACCGCCCCGCTGGCGCTGGGTCTGTTCCAACTCGTTGTTCGCGTGTTATGGTCAACGTAGTAAGTACGGCCCAGATTGTCTTCTCGGCGCTCCCAGCCAGGTGGGAGACGACCTTGTGCATCCTCGAACGGGCTCAATGTGCTATTCCCACGTTGCTGGGCGGCACCATTCGGGGCTGGCTGCGACGAGGACGGCGCGGTCATACTGGCGGGTCGATGCGGAAGATTCGCCGGGTTGCCGTTTGCGCTGCCACTGGGGGTTCCCATGGCCGAGGTCGGTCGTTCGGACGAGCGATCGGGGTTGAGCGACCCTGCAGCGGAAGGGTGTGGGCTAGCCAGCGAGGGACGGTTATTTGCCGCCTGCCCTCTTGGCGGGCTGGACAGGTTCGTAGATAAGTTGATTATCAGTTTGCCATGGACGACGAGATTATCGGTCGACTTCTTCAGATCTCTGGTAAGCATCTGGTCTGTTGCGGCACAGTTGTTTGTTAGCATAGTTATCGACGGGCGCGGACGTGTCAAGGGGGCGGATTACCATCAGCGTCCGGAGCAAGCTCGATCACATCGCCAATGCGAATGTTGATAACACCCAGGAAGCCTTGGTCCTTCTTCTTGAACTTCTTTTGGTCAAAGACTTGAACCGCCAAGATGCTGTCCTCGTTTACTTTGCTGTGGTGACGGTTAGCTATCAAGCTCCGTACTCGAACTCGGAAGTTGGGGTTGCACACAAGTCGAAGCTCTCGTTCCAATAGGGGCAGAGAGTCCTCTTGGAAACAGCGGTTGTCTGCGTCTGTTCGCCACTGATGGTAGCGACGGCGAACGGGTCGGGAAAGCCTGTAGAAGGGTTAGTACATGTCAATCATGGCATGTCGTTGTTATGTTCTTGGGGTGACGCATACGAAATACATCGCGTTTGTAAAGACCGTCCGCGGCGATAACTGCGTTCAAGTCAGTATACAGAGCTGCACATGTGCTCGCATGGTACTTTACTCGTCACTCGAAGATTGGGCTGGTTGCTGTAGATGTTATTCTCGTCAGCGAATGGTCTCACGAACAGCATCACCCTCTGCAGACGGTCGTGTGTGCAGCCTGGGATCTTGGGGGCGGGATGCTCGCGTGGGCCGGGGGTATGATGAAACGTACGCAGGAAGCCCGGAGTCGTTTCGGCGACTCATCTTTGCAGTGGCAGCAGGTTGTCCTGCTGTGGTGGACGTCCTCCTCTCGAAGTCAAAAAAGACAAAAGCGATGGAGGGATCAAGGGATTGGACAAGCGAGAAGAAATGGCTCAGGAATCCACCTGTTGGAAAAGGAGTAGCCAGGTGAGGACTGCAGGATGGACGGGCGCTAGAATGCTGACAATGACGATTTGGTACGGTTCAAGGGCGACGACGCAGGCGAGTTGAGGCTGTGCTCTCTCGGGCCCCCCGCTCCCAGATGCGCGAACCAATCCCGCGGCCAGGCCAGGTGTGTCAATACTGGCAGGATAAAGGTGCCGGTAGAGGGGGTTGGAGCGGGCAGCTGCTACTGTTGTCTGCGGGTTTCGATGCGGATGGGTGCAGCAATGTGCGTGCAGCGAGTCGCTGATGGATGGAAGGCGTTAAAAATGTCAGACGGGGGGGTTGGAGGTGACAGTTGAAGGAGGAGTGGGTACGTTCCAGCCAGCCAGCCCCTCGCAGGCGAGATGTGCCTGCACCGACTGTGAACGGATGATGAGGTGAGCACCGGACAGAGCAAGCACTGGGCACTGGCTGGCTGGCTGGCTGGCTGGCTGGCTGGTGGGCAGTCTGGAACTCGCACTGGGCCGGGACTGCCCAGACTGGGCTGCCCAGGGGGGCGGGAACGACCTCGGGAGGGGTGCCAAGGAAGAGGGAAGTGTTTGCCGTGCACCAGCCGTGGCAGTGGAGAGTACCGCTTCTCGATGGACTGGCTACACCTTGTCGGGCGCGCCCTGTTTGGCCCAAAACACGCTTCATCGCCATCCCCAAGGTTCATGCGACTCCGTTGGCCAGACATCCGGCCAAACATGCCCCCAGGACTGAGCTCCGAGCAGAGCATCCTGTGCGACCTGGGTGGGGTGTATTGATTGCGCATATCTATTTCAGGTATCTGTCAGACAAGGTTGACTCCGGTTATCATCAACTACAGAGAGTATCTAGTCTAGATACAGACGTACCCCACTGCTATAGAAGAGATGTAGGTAGTTGGATCTACAAGTACGTTCCCGCTCACTTATGCTTGTGGGAAATTGATGCGACACGTCTCAACCCCCTTCTCCCTGCTGGGAGCCTATTTACAACGCTTGTTTGACCTTATAATTCAGATTCCACTCACGCGTTCAGCATCTCCTGCCGCATCATACTCTATTGCAGCTGCATGCCTTGGCTATCCCAGTCGATCTCTCTTCAACAGGCTGTGCTGAACCGGGTTGGTGGAGCAGCCTATGACGTTGATCTGCCTTTCTGGATCCGGACTGCCGCGGGGCAAGCAACTGGGAGCAGTCTCCTACCGGCCTTGTCTGACACAATACCGCGGAAGACATCAATTGATATCTCTTGAACAACCCTGGGATCCTTGCAGGCAGCGAAGGACGTCTGAGAGAGGCGGGGACCCAGTCTACATCAGCATTTCGACCCACTGTAAGGGTCAGACGGCTTCTCAAGGTCCGCGCCCAACTGTGAAACCAGTGCACAACTTGCGCATAGGCAAACGTCTTGTGGCCATGGCAATGCCCAAACATATCCCCCCTGTACCGCTATGCCTATGTATCGTGGGTTCCATTTGCTAAGTAGAATAATGTGATGGAGAAGCCTGTCCTTTTTCCCCTTTCACCCGATACGCCGTAGGCAAAAGCAACTGCAACGATCGCTTCTGGCAGGCCAAGCCGTGTGCAGGCTGGGGATTCTATCATACACCCAGCGATTCCTCGTGCCACCTTGAATATGCCGTCGTCTTGGAGTTCTCATTGGAGATGGTGGGCGAACCACCGCATCCAACCACCTTAGTAGGGTGCAAAGCCACGGGGCGCACCCCGGAAGCCTCCACGATAGCCTCCGCGGTAGCCACCTCGTGGGACGAACCCGCCTCGTCCACCGTAGAACCCTGGGCCTCCACGACCACCCCGGAATCCCCCTCTTCCGCCGCCGCGTCCCCTGCTCATTCCAGGCACGTTGGTGCGCTTCGGCACGACCTTAATATTGCGGCCCTTGAAGACACTCTCGTTGAGGACCAGGGCCTGGGCGACCAGGCTTGGTTCGGTGAACTCGACGTAGGCATAGCTGCAGCATCGTGGTCAGCAGGGGCCGCTGTATTGGGGGACGGGAAGACGGCCACAGCGGTGCGAGGCGCCTGTTGGTCGCACTCACCCTTTGGGCTGGCCGGTGAACTTGTCCAGCAGGATTGTGACACGGTTGATGGACCCGCAGCTCTGGAAGTGCGCCTGGATCTCCTCGGGAGAGGCCGAGTAGTCGACGTTGCCGACGAAGATGCTGCGGCTGTCGACGTCGGTCTTGCTCTCCTGGGCGTTCTCGGCCTGGTTGTCCAGGCTGGCTTGCATCTCGCGGAGCTTGGCGGCCTCCTCTTCCATCTCTGCAACCCGTCGCTTCATCGCAGAGATCTCCTCCTAAAGCGCCAGCTCTTGTCAGATTGTTTTTTTTTTGAGACGCCAGAATCACCGTATTTTGTAGTAGCCCACCTCTTCATTGCCCTCTTCCTCGGCAGGGCGAGTCTCCTGGACCGGTTGCTCTGACTTGACGTCGTCCATGATTGTATCCTGTCGTTAGTACGGGCGACTGCAGTAGGAAGAAGAAAGAATGGGAAAGAACTGTCGACGGAGTCAGCAGGAGCCTTGCGCGCAAAGGGAGACGTCTTCGGCTTCTTTGTTGCGGGGCTCGCCTTTGGCCAGGTAGCGAGCGACTCAGCTTGCGCCACCTGTCGTCGTACTCTAGGGATGCACGGCGCAGATAGGTGTAGGAGCGGGGGTGATAAAAGGTTGGCTTACCTCCCAGGACAGGATAATACAGGTCGAGTTCACGGACCCTTCGCAGTGGAAAAGCAAAATGAGAGAGCCTGGGATGGCGCGGAAGGGAAAATGGGAGTCAAGTGTTGACTTGAAATGAAAGGCTCCCGGCGCGAGGCTTATCGCCGATAAGAGAATCAGTCCAAGAGCTCCTGAATTGCCTACAGGGGTCTTCGATCTTTCCGCCCGCTTTTTAACCCACCTAGGTACCTACAATACCTTACTTAGGTACCTAGGTAGGTACTTAAGTTCCTAGTGGGTACCTAGGTACGCACTAGCTTTCTCCAACAAACACCACAGCTGCATCACAACAAGGGACAGCGTTCAATGTCAGAAAACTTGCTGGCACTTGGCGATATCGAGTCCAGGGCAGTAATTCCTCCATGAGAGCCATGGCAGTCATTCTATGCTATTTCTGTGATCCTCCACAGTATGATATCTAGGTCAAGCTGATCAGAAGCTGAATGGCTGTCCTTCGCAAGCCATCGCTTCTCAAGACCAAGAAATACTACGTGCAATTCTCAGTAAACAGAGTCTTGCAGGTCGGGCTACCAGTGGGAAGACCCCCTATAGAAAATGCTCATATGTCTTGGAGATAGTATGTAAGATTTCAAGGCAAGATGACGATTCCTGACATTAATTAAGCATATCCCAGCACCCTTCCATTCACTCTTCAATGCCTGGGCAAAGCTTCAGGGGCCCATGCGAGCTGCCGGTCGGTATCTGCAACACGCCCAACTGCCTTCGTCCCAGGACCGTTTGTGTTTGGGCATTCCCTTGTTTGGCTTCACTTGAAGGTACCCCGCTCATGTACACCGAATTGTCAAATACAAGGCACCTACCTACCTTATCGCCTGCTACGCAACTCTTGATCCGCAGCCGGAGAAAATCACACACACCATTTCCCCTTGCCTCAGATATTACACCACGGGACATCATGGCCTTGGTCGCTCCCGTTGACAGAGTCGGTTTCTCCTACGCAGGAGACTCGCTCTTTCGTGAGGCAAGTAACCTCAACCGCCACCGTCGGGCGACAATCCCAGAGCTCAAGGCACACTTCGCGGGCAAGGACACTGAGAACCGGCCTGGTCACTGGTACAAGGCTCAACTCCTCCACTATGGCTTGCCTCCCAGCAAGGTCAAGGGCACAGCTCACAAACGCCGTAAGTTGCTTGCACACTGTCACTCAAGCGGCCCTTTCCAACGCTTTCTACGCAAGATGGTCTATCAAATGGTCTCGGAGAGAGTTGCGACCGCTTCAGGCCTTCACATGCATGCTATTTAGTGATTTAATAAATAGATTAGCTGACTCTATATGCCCTAGTCTTCGATGCTGTGATGGCCAAGGGCGGCCTCACAGTGCCAGCCCACAAATCCAGAAAATCGAGGCCGACCTAAAGAAGGAGTGGAACAAGAGAGATCGGGAGGCAAAGAAGGTCCTCAAGGCGTCTGAGGGCAAGGGCACCAAGCGCAAGACTGACCAGGTCTCTACCAATGTCAACGTCAACGTCTCTGTCCAGCTCTCCAGCACTGGGGCAGTCCAGGTCCAGGCCTCTACGCCGCCAACGAAGCGACCAAAGGTTGAAAAATCAGGTTCGGCGGCAACGTTCACCTCAAAGAAGACGGCTACTGCTGCTGCTCCCACAGTCAAGGCTAAGAAGGTACCTGCCACCAAAGCTGAGAAGGTCAACCCCGTTCCAAAGCCAGTAAAGGCTACAGACAAGAAACCGGCGGCAAAGAAATCAGCCCAGCAACCTCGCCCGCCCAGACCAAGCACTGCCCAGGCGTCTGCATACACAATCGGAGGCCCGAGTGGAGGCTACGACGACGCTCCCCCTCCTTACTTTGAGGCTGACCCCGGCTATGGCCTTGCATACCAGTCCAGCCCTCGTCGGGGTCTCGGTTTGCTCAACGGAAGATACGAGGTTGACTGCCCACACATGGAAGGTAATTTCCCCGACTTCAGGGACGACTTTGGCCTTATCGCGACTCTAGACGGCAGCAAGCTCCGGTTGAAATTTGACTTGGGCCCACTCGTCGAGATCATGAAGGTGGACCGACCGTATGAGGCAGATGTGGATGACGAAGGAACCGTGCTGCTCTGGCATGGTGAGTCCACCATCGAGCAACAGGACATCAACATGGACACCTTTTCGCGTGCTGGCGATGCGAACAGGCTACATTTCTTGGGTGGTGGACATATTCGGGGCACCATTGCGTATGGTTGGCACGAGATCGAGTTCGATGCTTACCGAACTCCTGGTCAGTCAATGACCTCCGAGATCAGTCCCAGTCAAGCACGAGCCGAGTGGTCAAGACGGGGCTAGCACTCTTCGGTCGGAACAGTCCCTGGGGAACACCGCTAGGTCGCAGAGGATTGAGGTTCAATTGAGCGCGGCCAAGGCGTTCGGCAGTGGAACGAGGTCGATGTTGTGGGACATATCTGTCACAGCATAATATGTTGTCTTGAGACCTTCACGTCGTCTTGGCTTTTAATAGAAGTGAATTTGGACAGGGGCTTTGGTCCTTATAGACCACTCAGATGGCAAACACGGAATCACGATGTGAAGGATAATCAATCAAAGTATTCTGGAACTCATAAAACAGCACGATCACATCAGAATACTTGGACGTTGATGGGATAGAATTTCCAATTTCCCGACAACCTTTTCGGAATGCCTGCGGTTGAGACGATCCCCAACGGAGATGATGAGTCCCTCAGAAAACAGAAGGGTAGATGTGCTAGTGACTCACAGACACTCTGAATCCATGGGCGTGGATTAAACTACCTGCCTAGGTACCAATGAATTAGTTGAGACAAGTCACAGTTTGGTCTCGACCTCGGAAGGCGCATGTCAGACATGCAGCCCCCGCAGACTCGCCAATGCTGTTGGCTGCCGTGTAAGTACCCAACCAGGGGAGACGCTAGATGACTTCACTGGCCAAGCAGCAAGATCCGCAACAGCTATGTGACCACAATCAACACCAGCGACTCAGACAACCAGATTTGTCATCTCTGCCTTGCGGCACAATACATCAGATATTTGTGTTCCTAACGGCAAGAAGCACAACTGATTTCTGGATTTCCGCGGCAAGAACAGCCCCACCTGTTCAGAAGCCACGTCCCCTCGTGTCCTTCCAGGCAGTCCTCAGCATCCCCTCGCGTATCTCATCACAGTCAGCCAAAGACACCCATCGACATCCCCCACCATGGCTCCAGAACGCCACCAGCCCAAGTCCAAGCTGCAGGAGTTCTTCCCAAATACCAAGCTCCCCATAATCATCTCGGCCCCCATGCTCGGGGTGTCAAACGGGACCCTGGCCGCCCACGTGTCCAAGGCCGGGGGGCTCGGCATCGTCCCGGGCGGGCTGGACTTCAAGCCCGGCAGCGCCCAGCTCGCGGCCCTCGAGGGCGAGCTCAAGGCCGCCCGCTCGGTGCTGGGCCTGACGGAGATGACGCTCACCCCCGCGCCGGTCGGCGTCGGCTTCCTGACCTTCGACCCGTCCGCCGCCCAGTTCCGCGAGACCGTCCTGCCCCTCCTGGAGAAGTACCTGCCCCAGGCCGTGTGGCTGTTCGCGCCCGACCCCAAGACGGCCGAGAGGGCGCACCCGGCCATCATCGAGGCCTGCCACGACCACGGCATCAAGGTGTTCGTCCAGGTCGGCACGGTGGCTGCCGCGAGGGAGGCGGCGCGGGACGGGGCCGACGTCATCGTGGCGCAGGGCGTTGATGCTGGTGGGCACCAGTTCGCTGCGGGCGCGGGGGTTGTCAGTCTTGTGCCTGAGATTAGGGCCATGCTGGATGACGACTTTATGGGCAAGGGCATTGCGTTGGTGGCCGCGGGAGGTATTGCTGATCCGAGTGCCGTTGTGGCTGCCATTGCGCTGGGCAAGTGCACCTCATTCCAAGAATGGTGCTGGAATTGGGCAACGAGCTGATGGTAATATAGGAGCCGACGGTGTTGTCATGGGCACAAAGGTTGGTTTTGGGTCACCCATGGCTACAGCTGTGAAACAGATTTGCTGACTATCAGGCTGTAGTTCATACCTGCGAAAGAGTCGCTCGCCTCTGAACGTGGCAGGAAGGCGATTCTTGAGACTCGAGATGGAGGAAGCTCAACCGTAAAGTAAGTTTTAAGTCAATAAGTGGTTACTGCTTCCTTGCTGACTGTCGTCAAACTATAGGTCGACGTTCCATGACCAGGTCAGGGGCACGACGTTCTGGCCAGAGCTGTATGATGGCAGGGCTATTATTTCGGACTCCTACAAGGACCATCTCTCTGGCATGTCTATCGACGAGAACAAGACCAAGCTGGGCGAGGCTGAGCGCGCTGGAGACGCTTCACGGCAGGTGACATGGGCGTAAGTTGAACCAAATCAAACACGCTGTTCCCACATTTGCTGATGGTTTGCAGCGGCACGGGTGTCGGTTTGGTCAAGGACGCAATTCCTGCTGCCGATATTGTGAGGAACACGAGGGAGGCGGCGAAACAACGACTGCAAGCTCTCAGATTTGCTTTCGACGACGAAGGTAAGGATTCAAAGGACAAGTCGTGGGTCAAGGAGCTAGGTCACACTCTCTACAAACACAAGTGAGAGGTTCGGGCGAATAAGAAGCCAGCCAGGAGGCCGAGGTAAGGAGCCGGTTCATTCGGTGCGTTTCTGATCATCAAGCTTATTCGTACGAGTAATACTGCTGTCGGGCGAATTTCACGATAGGCTTTTCGGCAAGCCCGTTAAATACGTCGTGCATGGAAAAATTCCCATGTGGCATAGTTTGTGGTGGGAAACACAGAGACCCGAGACGCTCGGGAGCACATCCGACTGTCAGAAGACGGCAGACTCCATTAGCCCCGGCACAAGCGAGCTTTACCAGGCGTATGACTATGATCTAAGTAAAAATTCAGCTACGATGGCGACTTACTAAACCATCCATGGTTCTCATGAGATGTAACTGCAAAGAGCCCCCCTTCCGACTGTGTTTCGGCTTCTCGGCTCATTCCCTCAGGTAGACCCGCTGGCCAGCAACCCATGTCTCCTTCACTTTGAGATGACGAATGTCCTCGACATCCAGGCTTTCTAAAGGTTCGTCCAGGACGACCCAGTCCGCCATCGCCCCTGGCTGGATCACCCCGGCCTCCCCCTCTAGGAACGCACCATGTGCAGGGCCCTCGGTGAAGCCCACCAGCGCCTCGCGGAGCGTCAGCGTCTCCTCGGGGTGCCATCCGTTGAGGCTACCATCTGCGCCCTTTCCTGTGTGGGGACTTCTCCTCGTGACAGCCGCATAGATTCCCTCAAAGGGGTTGGGAGGCTCAACGGGGAAGTCACTCCCTAGTACGGGCTGTAGATCGAGCAACGAGCGCATCCTATAGGCCTCGGTGGCGAGTCGCTTGCTTCCCAAACGCAGCTCCGCATAGCTCATATCGGAGGTTGCATGGGTGGGCTGAATCGATGGTATAATGCCTATGGAGTGCATGCGTTCCTGGTCTTCAGGGTATATGATCTGTGCACTATTTGTCCTCTCTGATCAGTAACGCACCCGAATGTATCAGTTTAGGATGTTCTCCTCAGGTGGCGCGGGGCGCTGAAGGATGAAATCCATGCTTGGGAGTGATGTGATACTAGATGGTGAAGGAAATGCTTCTTACTGCTCTATTCGAAAACGGCGTTTCGCCTGACAGACTGACAGACTTTCTCCTGGGCAGACATCGGCAAGGGCGGCTTCCATCGCGTCAATGGCGAGCCAGTTCGCGAGATCTTCGGACAGTGTCAGTAGAATGTCCTCTCATATCAAGACTAAACATATCTTAAGATAATTTGTGAGGCCCTCAAAACCCATTCTCCGCATCTCACACACATCTCGCTTGTGTGCCGACTCGAAATGCACCTGATATGGGCTGCCATAGCTAGACGAGGGGAACAATAAGGCAAGATACGAACCACCAATCGCGTGAATGTTGACTTGGTAGCCTTCTAATGACCACGACTTCGCTAGAGAGGTCAGTGTTGAGGCGCTGACTAGGAGGGAACCTGCTGTATCGGGACGATCAGAGTATGGCTCGATCATAGCACTTCCCCAGCTACCCAGGGCTCCATCTGTTATGATATATCAGCATAGTTCCGAGACGTCGTATAAGACCGCAGTTGGCTATTAGTAAGTAAGACCACGACATATTGTACGCACCGGCGAAGAGCTTGACGCTCTTGACACTAAGGAACCCATCACCATCAGTGAATGCAGGCACCTTCTCAGGGCAGAACGTGTTTCTTTCCTCGCATTCAATCATAGCATAGATACGCAATGTCCAGTCATCTGCACTGAAAATCTCCTTGTATAGCGGCAGCTCGTTAGTGTAGACGCCAGCATCGTGCACGCCCACAAGTCCGACTTGGTGGAGGCTGGCCATCGCAGACTTGAGGAATGCTGTCTTTCGAGCATCATCTGGCCGCGGCCAGTACTTCATGACGACCTCCATGGCATTGTCACAGAATACCCCCATGCCAGGCTCTCGGATAATCTCTCCACCTGGAACATCGGGCAAGTCGTCCGGCAGCAGATCAAGGACGGCTTGGGAGACCCATACGCAGTGGACGTCAACGCGGTCAAGCATGATATAAAGCCCGTCGAAGTCGGCAAGCATGGCCTAAGGAAAGGAACAGAGTCAGATACCACAATCTGGGAGCTGCTAGGGCGACACCTACCGCGGTTGGCATCTCCCCCATGACCATCTGATCCCAGCCCACGCCCCTGATCCAGTTTTCCCTGGAGCCCACACCCTTGTGTGCCAAAACATAGGCTGTCAGACGGTCTTTGGCGTCTTTGACCGATGTCGAGCCAAACAGGTCCACGGAGTGAAGGAACTCCCCATATTGAGCCAAGTGGCCATGCTAATAGAGCATTAGTCACTAACTTATAAGGCCTCCGAGCAAGATCTCTTACACCGTCCCATAGGCCGGGAATGGCGTGACCAGGGCGAAGGTCCGCAGGTTCTGACACAGGCGTGAAGACTTCTCCAAACTGACCGTCCTCGACGGTAAAACATGCAGCCGAAGACTTGGTTGAGAATCTAGTCGTGACGCCCTTTGAGTAACAGAATGTCTGGCCCTGGGGGTTCGACGTGAAGACCTGCTGGAGTGGGCCTTGAAGCCCAAGGTAGACAGCCACCACCACGACGGCAAATGACAGCCAGATGCCTCCTCTCAACAGAAGAGAGGACATCTTAAAGAATTTCGGGGATGGCAAAGGTCAGGCAAGCAAGGATCTCATTGTATTTGCATGACTTTTTTGTGACTGAGTAGTGAAACGTCGGTGACCATCCTCGAACCAACTGATTGACAGTGGGGATCATTGATAGCAGATAAGGTTGGTGTCGCTGTCCCTGTTGACCGGCGGCACGGATCAACACTCTACAATTTCAATGACGTACCGAGACTCTTGACATTTGCTGTCGACTTTCATTCAAAGACAATTTGTTGAGGTGTCCACCTTTCAAAAAAAAAAAAAAACCCTCATGTTGTTGTGGCACCAGAACATCTTGGTGTGCCTGCGCTTCCGTGAGCAATGACCCCCGCCCCTTCCTGAGCCGCCCAACGAATTTGAGGAAGCAGCATCCAGGAGGGGCAGCACAAACCGAGTGAATGGTTCACTCTCCAACTACGTTGACTGCCATCCTTGAAATCAGAACACAACCAGGTCTCGGTGGAAACGGGCAAGGTAAAGCTGATGAGTCCCCTTTGATTGCACAAAAGAGCCGGACCTGGGGAAGGCCACGCCGATCGCACAACTCCAGAGCAATCAAAGGGATGTCTTCGGATTCTTTGTCAAGGAACAGAAGTACGGTCGCCGGGGCAATCTCATCCTGATATCTGTCCATGGCGACACTGCCCTCGACCGGAAGATTCGAGAGCGCCGCGCAGGATCTAGCTAGCGACTTGCCACCATTGTCAGATATTTTCCAGCACAATCTTGAACGAAATCAAGCTGACGGCGTCCCAGAAGCAGTCATTCGACGGACAGACATGATGTTACGCGACTGTGCTTGGCGTGATCTGGGGCCCAGCAGCAGCTCTCAATTTGAGCGTGGGACCATTTCTCGACAGGGCGTCAGAGTCTCCACCGCAGACTTGGATCAATTATCCCGTGGGAGTCCGTGGAACTCCCTGATTCCCATCCACAGCTCACCGGATGTCTGACTGCGAGATCGGTCCACCACGGTGCGACCCGAGACCCAGGAATTGGCCGGCATCCACCTGCCTCAGGGTATGTGTTTAACCCCGTACGTCAATATTCACAGGTCCGCCTGGGAACTCCATGGGCTCTCTGCGCTCTGTGAATGTCATTCGACGTTTTACCAACGGGTTGACCGGTCGTATTGTGGGTAACGGCTGTGTGTGATCTCTGTTAGGCGCTGGGTAGACAGGCTGCCTGCCTGCCAAGGTTCGCAGTTGGCATCAGCATGAAGCCGGACGCTCAAGATGGAACCTTCGCGGCTCAACAGCGGGGCGAAGCAGGTGAGAGAGTATGGATAGTTGGTGGACGGACAAGGAGGACATACGGCCTGGCAGATCTATCCAAGGGCACGGCGACTTCCCGAGCTCAGACCGCAGTTTGCTGATAAATCTCATCAGTCTAGACCAAGACTTCGAGCATATGAGTATGCACAGGATGAGGGGGCACACATCATCGAGATCCTTCGACGTGGAATTATCACCACCACAGACAGCCAGAAGTGCGTTCGGGGCAAGGCCATGCCGGGCTACAACAAAATTTGAGACCCGCGACTGTCTTGCGACGACTACCAACGATGACTGATCTGCTTAATCCAGCTGATTCGCAGACAATCCGAAGCCGGCGAACACTTGGGCATACGTGCTCAAGCAGCCAAGCTGTTGATTCGGGCCTTCCAGAGTGAAGGAGACTTGCTTTTGCAGAGATCACCATGGGCCTTGGAAAACCTCAAGGCTTTGATGTGTCTCCTTGCAGCTACCACTCACATCCAGGGCGTGCACAACGACGGTGCTGCGCAACTCACAAACATCGGGAATTGGGCTGCGTTTCCACCAATGCCTTCCACCAAGACCTACGTAACATCAACGTGAACAAATCGACGTTAAGGCATCTTTGTCGTGCCTCGGCACGAGACAAGAACGTCGTCTCCAATCTCCGCCCCGTCCGAAGCCTCTCGCCCGGAGAGACTGGCTTTGTGCACGATTCTTGCCAATTGGGTTTTCGACGGGCTCGAGAGGAATGTGGCGCCGAATTCCTTGGGCTTTGTTGCGTGCATGTGCAGCTCCATGGCTGCATTCTGATCGGGCCTTCCCTTGGCAACACAGACCATAGGCGGAAAAACTGTTCTTGAACGACAAAAGCACCTTCTTCTTCCTGATCGTAATATTCCTGACGTCGAGGAATCCAACGGCCATTACACACGCTACAAATTGTGGCGGGGAAATGAGATCCAAGCCGTCTTGGAGAAATGGCGAGACACAACCAAGGTTAAGCTCGTTGCTGTCTCCATCTGAACCAAGAGAAAGTTTGGTAGCCTAGGGGCTAGAATCGTTTGGTTTTCCTTCTCCATTTGTCGCCGAATTATTGAACTCAGTACACTGGGCTGGGGTGCAATGGCAGGTTCGCTAGGTTCGGTCAATTCAGCCACATTTCAGCCGGCCGCTGAGCCCGTTTTGGCAAAAATCCACGACCAGGAGTCAGCCGGGTCAATCGATCGGATCATCGTTGTAGGGCACTGGCTGTCTCCCTCCCTCAAATCTCCAGCAGCGCAGGATAGATGAAGCTGCTCGACTTGGCAGCCGCTGCTCCCCGCGTCCGGCAGACTAGTCGCACAGGTTCTGTAAGTCCGGGCTGCCGGGTCCGTCTCGGGGGACAAGCTTTCAACTTAGAACCTGCAGGATCCGACCTGGCGTTCGCACTTGAAATGCACTTCGGAGCGATCCGACAAGGCAACTCTGGCGCACTGATGAGTGTACTGTCGTCTCGGGTAACAACAGGACACAATGTCCCGGATGTTATCTACCTCGTCATGGCCGATACGGGCACAGAACAGCCGCTGCCTGTCTGCAGAAGCTGACGAACAGTCCATTAGGCTGATAGGAACGGAACGTTGCTCCAACACCGCTGTTGAGAAGGATGGTTCAGAGAGACGCGATGTCTCATAGAAATATAATGGCCCGCATGGCCGAGGCACGCTTCATCTAGGCTCGAAGCAGCCTGCCAGTCCAGGAGCCAGTCAAGAAGCGAGCCTTCGACCGGCATCACAGATGTCACAATCACATCAGGGCCCTTCTTGTGTGTGGTGTGTATAATGTCTGGTTTGTCTGCTCTGGCCCATGCTTGCTGATCATCAAGCGGCGTTCGCCAAGCAATGTGCCGAGACGAGGTCAGCATGTGGTGATTGGCGGAAGATCTCGGCTCGCAAAAATCCAGAAATAGGGGAATTACGGCAGAAATCAGTGGTCCAGATTCCGGACCACCCCTCGCCCCACGTTCTTCCCCAACCTTCTGGCCTGGGGAAACTGGTCTGGAGCACCTGGGCGTGCTCCCCGGCAAGGGCCCAAGGAGTTTTGTGTGTCGGGGTGTGTCCGCCCATCCACGGGATCAAGCTCTTTGCTTAGGCAGTACAGGCAGGCTACCCCGCGATGTCACGTCCCCTGCTGTGAGCCTGTGACTCGGCAACGCGGGGGGCACTCGGAGCCTCCTTGCCAGTTTGGATCGCATCCTTTGTTGCGGACCAAGTTGCGCGTATCCTCGAGCCACCCATCACCAGTTGTTGCCCTCCAGGCCGCCGGACCATGTGGATCGGCGACAGGCGGGGCGGGTCGCAGGTCTTGCATTGCATCTCCACCTGCAGCCCTCACCGTGGGCGACCACAGCAGATCTCACTGGCAACTGCTTGCTTGATCACCAGTTTCGGCGGGTGGGCCCACCACCGACAGCACTGCGCATCTGGCCCTGCTGGGCCCAGCTGGGCCTGGCTGAGGGAGCGAATGCCCTGTGCCCGCCTGTGTTTGAGAGGCTCGTGGGCCTGGTGCGCCGAGATCCGCATTGTAGATCTGTCGAGCTTCATCCATGTCATGTGGTGGAACAATGGAGTGCTCTCAGCCGCGGCACGTCAGTCACTGGGCACCGGCAGAAGTCATCGTGATGCCCGGCCGCCTCCTCCTGCCTTGACCAGCTTAGCAGCCTGGCTTGTATTGCCCGTGTTCAGCACAAGCCTGACGGGCAGAGCTGGGGTTTTTCCTGGCAATGTTTCGTCGAGAACGCTCGTAGCAACCTGATGCCACAATAGACCCCTGCCAAACCCGCCGATATCCCAATGAGCTTAATTCTAGGCTAGGTCAGGGATAATCGTTTCCAGCGTCGGCGAAATATTCTGGCTGACTCCTTGGCGCTGCGACTGCTCGGGTCCCTGATGCGGGAAGCCGACTACTTCTACTTACCCACTACTCCAACATCACATCATTCGGCCTCCTGACATCTACTTTTCCCTTCGATACCACACGCATGCGCCTGTCCTGTCGGCCTCCAGCACACGCGACATCCATTCGCAAACATCCCGGGCCTTGGGCTTGCGTGACTCCCCCAGAGAAAGACGGTCTGGACCCAATGTCACGAGATCCGTCTACGGCCGCAATGACATGACAGGAATGCGCCGGAATCATATCTGGAATAACGTCGCCTCTGCACACCAACCAGCGTCGGCCAATTGACGCTGTCAGCTCCAGACAACCTATTGAGAATTTCTCCAGGCCCTTCCTGTCGCTTGGCCCTGCATATCCAACCACAAAATCCCCGGGGCTCGGAGGACGTCCTGATCCGCGCCGCCTGTCATTCAACTGGCCAAGCCGCATACCATCTATCATCTCACGAGGAGAAACATAGCCTGTCGCGCACCACCAAACACCGAGTCCAAGTAAGCTTGCATCGCTCGCCTGCTTCCTGGCAGGGGTTTTCCTACTCAACCCGCTTTCGTGGGTTCGGACCTTTCAACAGACACAACTTGCGTTGCGGTGCGCTATCCTTTATCTGCCGCCACGCGTCCCTCCAAAGTCTGCCCTACACGGGCTGTTGATCTTGAGGTCAGGGCTCCGCTCTGTACAATCTTTTGCACTGCCGGCCACTTTGCCATGCGCGGTTGGGAACACAGATACAACTCGCGATTACAGTGGCCAACTAACGAGTGGCGCCACCGTGATTCTTAACCCCTGGATACTGAGAGCAACACATAGAACTCGGCAAGTCGACTGTTTGGCGCTCGCTGTCCTGGTCTGCTATTGCCAAGACGACATCACTCGCACAACTCGCAGGACTCTCGGCTGGTTTATATCACCGGGAGGCAAAGGATGACGGCGGTCCAGCAGCTTGAACCAACGCCGACGCCGGCGAGACCTAGGAGCATGGTCGCCGGGTTTCCAAATAGTGGTGACACGGACATGGAGATGAACGGGCACTCACCGCCCATCTTGGCCACCACGACGTTTGGCAGTGGACCTCAGAGGGGCGACACGAGGATTGTTGTCATCATCTACGGACCCGGGCAGGACAAGATCGTGTCCATTTTCGCGGAGATCCTTGGAAAGCCTCAAAGATTGATCGAGGCTTTCAAGGATGTCAACGAGGCGGACCAAGGGCTGGTTGTCGGGATTCCAGCGGACAAAGCACAGACGGACATTGCGGAACGTGATCGGGGGCTTGTCGTGGCTATCAACGCACACTGGGTGAACCTGGGCATGCCGCCGGACGAACTTCTATCTGTGCAGTGCGACTATGAATTTCTCTACACCGAGACTCCTTTCTTTAGGCGGGACCTGTCGAGGTTCATCTCCTTCACCCTGGGCCAGCTCAACCATCACGAAACACTCATGGCGAAGGCGAGAACATACTTTATATCAACCACCTTTCCCGACGTACGAGCGGCTCTACCAAACCTGGACATCCTGACTGTTGGCGCCGACGCTGTTGAGATCCGAGTCGATCTGTTGAAGGAACCGCTTGGGGACGGCACGTACTCAGACCTACCCAGCTTGAGCTACGTTGGTCAACAGGTCATGCTCCTGCGACAAAGTACGGAGCTGCCCATCATATTCACGACAAGATGCACGAGAGAAAACGGACGGTTTCCTATGGATAACCCAAACTTATACTACGAGTACCTTCACCGAGCCATCAAGTGGGGTGTAGAGTACATCGACGTCGAGCTCTGGCTGCCAGAAGCCATCAGGAAATCGCTCTGGGAGCAACGGGGGAGCAGTCGAATCATGTCTGCGTTTCACGACTTCTCTGGGACTTTCAAGTGGCCTTCGAGACACGCCGAGGAGATATTCGTGGAATCCCAAAAATACGCGGACATCATCAAGATGATAGCGATAATCAACGATCACAACGAAAACTTCGAGCTTGAATATTTCCGATCGAAAATGAAGGCTGACTACCCAGACTCGCCGCCCTTCTCGGGCGTCAACATGGGCGAGACTGGCCAGTTCTCCAGGACCCTGAACAAGGTCTTCACTCCTATCACGCATCCGCTGCTGCCAATCATAGCCGCACCCGGGCAGATGAGTGCGGCCGAGATAAACGCAGCGCTGTCTCTGCTCGGCCAGCTGCCCAAGAAGAACATCTACGGGATCAGCAGTCCAGCCAGCCGCAGCGCAACGCCGCAGGCCCCTTTCTACGAGAAGTGCTTCAACGAGCTCGGCTTGCCGCACCACTTCGCGGTGGTGGAGAGGCAGCCCAAGGGGAATAGCGGCATGGAGGCATGGTGTAACCAGAAGAACTTCGGCGGTGCCTACCTCCAACCGCCGGTCTCCTTCCACAGCCTGGTCGGGAGCAGCCCCTTCTTCGCCTCCATCAACGGCGGAGCCGGGCCGATACTCAGCGAGGCCGCCCGGGTGATCGGCATGGTCGACACCATCGTCGTGCGGCCGGGGGTCTCGTCGCCGTCGCCGTCGTCGGCGCCGGCGTCGATACCCTCGAGCCCGCGCAACGGGCACGCCAGGATGGACTCGCTGGGCCACCTCGGCGGCGGCGACGCGGGCCTCCCGCCCAACACGACGCTGATCCTCGACAACGCACTCTGGCGCGGCGTCCTCAGCACGCTGACGCGCGACCTCGCGCCGTCGGCCTACTTCGGGCGCGCGGCCGTCGTGCTGGCCTCGTCGTCCGACGACGCCGCGAGCGTCGTCTTCGCCCTCAAGGCCCTGCGCGTGGGCAAGATCTACACCGTGGGCTTCAAGACGCCGCCCGCGCTGGCCTACGGCCTGACCATCGAGCCGTTCAACTCGCTCGAGTCCCTCCAGCGGGCGCGCATGGTCGGCGCGACCGACGACGCCGCCTCGCCCTTCGTGGTCGTCAGCGCCCTCGGCCCGGAGAAGGCCAACATCGTGGGCATGCTGATCCGGGTCTTTGGCGGCGGCGGTGGGGCCAACAAGGGCCCCGGCTCGGGCTCGGGCCCCGGTCCAGCGCGCAAGGTGTTCCTCGACCTCGCCGACGGCGGCATGGGCGTCCCCCGCAAGGCCGACCCGGGCATCGTCGCCGAGCAGAGCGGGTTCACGGCCTACGGCGTCGCGGACACGGCCGCGTTCGCGACGGTCGAGACGCTCAGGCTGCTGGTGGGCCAGAACGTCCCGTACAGCTTCGTCAGGCTGGCGAGCGGGCGAGGCATGTTCTGAGTACCTGAGAACCGGCCCCGAGCCTGAGCTTGTGGTTGACTCGCAGACTCGTTCTTGCGCGCTTCGCCCTTCGCGCTCCGCGGACCTCCCTCGCTGCCATCGGGCTGCTTCAGAACCCGTATGCGGGCTCAACCTTTTGCCTGACGGGTCTTCGATGTCCGTTCAGCTCGGGAACATGCATGTGCGGGACCCTGTGGGTATCGACGTGCCTCACACGCCACAACCCACCCACGCACATGGGACCCAGAAATGCACCTCGAGGCAAGGAGTGTGTTGCATCTAGAAGACGGCGCTTATTGAGAGCGAGCGTTCGGGCGACTGAATCGTGTGGAATGGAGCTTCTCCTGCGTGGTGCAGGAACGAGCAATGCTCCATGCTCCTAGCCGCTCCATTTCGTCTGTCTGCTCCCAGCGGGCCACCCTCTGCGGGATGTCGACGAAATGTGCGCATTTTTTGAGCACACTGTTCCACTGCTGAATCAACCATAGGCGGTGAATAGACGGGTGAAGGTCATCCGGGGGGCGGGCGCACGACAGTGTGGTAACGGGAGGGCATCCCCATCAGGGTGATTAGGGCAAGAGTCAGCGGTGGAGTCAGAGGCCCCATGGGGTAAGGGAGCAAACATAGTATCGGCCCTTTGCTGACAGGGGTGAGTGACCAAGACTCCTTTGGAGAAGGGGAAGGGGGGTGCAGAGTGTGGGTAACGTTCGCATGGGCACGGCGTTTCGGTGATGAGTTCCGGAACTACTACTTCCTTATTCTTTTTTGTTCGCTTTTTTCTTGCTATGTTTTTTGATTCCCGCCCACCTAACCGGGCGCGTATCCGTCATTGTGCATCGTCTGCGAGCATCCTGTACATATTCCCCGTCGGGTCTTTTTATGGCAACAAAGTGACGGATGGGTTTTCCGAACAATTGTGGTGCCAATGCACAAGTCCGATATTTGCAGGCTTGGGCAATTTGCGTGCTGGTGATCATGTCCCCTGCGAACGGTTGCGAGTGGTTAGTATCTCGCATCATCACATCGATACCTTGCCAGCATGTACGCCTGTGCCCCCGGTCGGCGAGGCTGTGGGTGTGGCCAGAGGCCCCCTCACGTCGAATGCATTACGCTCACAAAAGATTCCAAAATAGACCCGGTGTAGAATGTAGTGTAGACAACTTGGTGTAGACAAGTCGGCTCAAAGTGGACACGCCGCAGAAGGGGGCACAGCAATGAGTTAAGTCACTGACGCGTACTAGCCGACCCTCCTCGCTTAATCATTCCCATTTTTATGGTTCCGCGGGAGTGTCCATTGTGCTGTTCCTGCATGTGGATAATGGTCAGCGACCGGCTCCGAACGATGCTCGGCTCACGGAGGTCGGCGATCACATTCTGCTGGGCCTCGCCTCCTCAGACGGGGGCAGCAGGCCCTGGGAGGAGGCGCCGGGAGCTCCTGGACAAGGGCTGAGCTGTGAGAGCCAGGCCTTTTGGTGGGCGACACGGCAGAGAGGGGAGGGGAGTACCAGCCTCAGCCAGGCCCCATTTCCAGTCAACGTGTGGCTTGACCCCGGAGACATGCGGTGGGCAAGATCAGACGAGACCAGGTGCAAGTGAGTCAATGCTGTGCGACTACGAGGCAATCACACCGAGGGTTTGTGACTGTGGCACCACCGCGATCTGACATCCCGCACAGTTCCGCGCTTGCACAGACAGGCAGACCCGACAAAACTCGCGAGAAGCACGATCATGTACAGCCTGCAGAAGCGAGGAATCCGATCGCATCCCCCAACCCCCACTATCTGAGACAGCCTCGTTGTGCCACCGTCCTACCGCGCAGGCGATCGCGCCCCGGCTCCGTGGGCCAGGGAACGCAGGGAACCTGGGTGAGCACTGCAGCATGCATGTGGTGACGATGACGACCAAGACAGGGCGCCACCGTGATACTGCAGCAGCCTCGAGATCCCTTCACGAGGCGCCGGGCAGATATTCACGGGGCACAACCCGCGAGACATCTGTTCAACGTGCATCGCCATGTCGCACAATTCCGCGCCTCCGTGGGGTTTCCGAGACATCGGACTTTGACGAGGCCCTCGCACGAGACCCAAGAGATGCTGGGGCCCCTAAGACAATGGGTTGAGACATAATAGAAGCTGCTCCGAGCTATCTCGACACCGCTGACGACGCCGTCACATAAGGCAGGCCCGCTTCTCAGCGGTCGGCTTTTCACTGGTCGACAGCCTCGTCGACCTGGGCTGACCGCCTCCGCCTAGAGAACTCCTCGTGGCTAGACGTTGTACCCCTTGCTGCCGCCAAACAGCAGACCCAGAATCGTGAATCGAACAAGGTAAGGAGGCTGCAGGGGCCCAAAGCGAGGCGAGCTCTCAGGACCGCCGACCCCATTACCGATCCGAAGCTGCAAGGTCTGAGTCCAGATTCAGTTCGAGAAGAGCCAAGCAAGTCCGATCTCGTATTGCAGAAAGGGACAGCCGGTGTGCGCTCTGCTGCCGTTCTCTTCATCGTCGATGCCACGGTCTCAATTGCGGCCGTCACGACCGCTTTCTCCCGAACCACTCGGCCAAACGCTCGCTGTAGGACGTGTGACGAGATGCTTGTTAGTTTCCGGTATCCGTTTCCGGGGGGGTGCCCTTCGATCCACCTCCATGTGCCGACGTGATAGATCTCACATATCTCGAAAACAGGATCCTTCCAAACCGACGGGCTGAAGCCGTAGACCGCCACTGTGTCACGCCAGGCATCGGACAGGGCGACTTTGTGAAATGCCGAAGGGACCCACGGCACTTGCCAACCCTGTAGACAGCTCATCAAGGCTTGCGACCCCGTTCCGTAGGCCCGTAGAATGTGACGTGAAAGCTGACACGGGTATGACCCGCACTTTTGTCTATTTTTCTTGTGGCCGAAGTCGAGGCCCACTTTGCAGCTGAAAATATAGGCCCGAGATCTCGCATACGCACCTTTATCGTACCAACGGTTAGCATCCCGTGGTTCCGGGTAAGCTGTCGTCTAAGCAGACATCATAGAGGTACTTACCTGGTCTTACTAGTCATGCTAAGGTCGTACTCCGGGCGGTCCAGAGTCTGGGGTAGTGAATAGCGGCTCTGAGTGGTCAGGATGGCAAAACGGGTAAATGAAAGCAGCCGGGGATGCACGGGTGAAGGTCCATGTGATTTAGCATCGCCCAATTCGAGGTGGTGAGCTGTTACATCCTGGTGGTGAGGGTCCGGTCTGTGCTGAGGCTCAAAGGAGCAAATATGGAGAAGGAAGCGAACATTCTGAAGTGTGTCCTGGCCACCAAGCCGCGATTGGTGCGCATCGATCGAAGCGCATATGCACCCCAGATGAGGCGCATTGCAGATCTCCAATCTTGGCTTGTAGGCTCGGGAGTACTGTACATTCCCGTGTACCGAGAGGGAGGGTCGAAATGCCAACCGCCAACTTTACGCTGACCTCGAACCTGCTTCTGGTATTTTTATGTCGTCGAGAAATTCGAATGGCTATGGATTTGATGATGACTCTCGCGCTGCATTGAGCCGACCCACGATCCCTGTGGGAGAGGCTACCTACACAGTGATATCAGATTGGCAGGATTGATTACGGGGCCAAGAAATGATATCACCGTTGCATCGCAACAACTGCTAAATACCTTCCAGAACATGACGGCAGTCATGATAGCGGAGCAAGTGATGTACGTCGGTGGCAGGTCATCGCCAGCCCTGCTGTCAAGAAACAGGGGCAATCCACCAGGAATCGAGGTTCTCGGACATGGGCCAGGGCAGGCCACGGATGCCGCGAGATCAACACGTCCAGCCGTTGTGGCGACATCTCCCGAAATGCTCCTCTAACGAGGCTGACTGCAGCAACCGCTGACTGCCCTGGCTGCATAGCTTCGGTAAACTACTGATTCTCTGATACCGGTCGCCAGGTGGCTTCAAAGAGTTAAAGAAGACAACGTCTCCATGTAGATGCCTTCAGGTTTATTGGCTCACCGTGATTTGCCATGTTCGCAGATATTTGGTATGGCTAGGCTCTTACGGGCAGGCCATGGGAGATAGGAACCTCGTGACGCATACAGATAGACCCGATGCTCAGGCTCACGCACTAGCCGCCCTGTTGCAACAGCATGGGTCAGTCCCACCTAGGAGTCTTACGTGCGGTACGGTCTGTGACATTAAAATAGACGGCCTTTGGACGAGGTGTGGGTAGTCCACAGAATGAATCACTCGGTTGAGTTATGAGCATCCTAGCATGAATTGCTGGCCCAGTCCAGGTTAGGCTATAGCACAGCTTGTATACTGATAAGGCGTGGTCAGTACTGAGGCGCCCGAATGTTTGAGCCCTACCTTCCCTTTGAAACCGTCTTGATCAAGTTGGTGCCGGCTGTAGAATACCAGAGCAACTTGGATAGGAACCTGACATTGGATAGACCTGCTTCAACTGAGTTGGCAGTCAAAGGACTCCTGTTGCCTGACTTGGCCAGACGGATCTTCAATCACAGTTGGTTTGCCAATGGTGATGGCTTGACAATCCGATCCCGAAGCCACGGCCCGTTATCCTCACACAGCAAATGTTGTGGGAACAACTTGCTTCCACATCCGGGGATGTTGTTATCCGAGGATGGTGACACTACGCCACTGAAGGAGCTGTTCAGGAAAGGATGAGCCAGTCAGGATCTGCCTCTAATCAGGCCATTCTGCTGAAATGGGAAGAACGTTGGGAAGCAAAGATCCAGACTCGTCTAGTCTGTGTAGGATATAGATTAACACAATGTCGTTGGTGCTGGGGCTGGACCCTTGTTGCGGCAATGTGGATGACCCAGACGTCTGTTCCGGTGCCCCAAAATCGTGATGGTGTTGCCGATCTTGCTTTGGCAGGGCTACCTTGGTGGCTCCGGGCACGCGCGAGATTGTGGGCCTTGGGTGGGAAAGGAACTGTTTACAGTACCTCTCCGTCTGCGTGGAAGCCCAATGAAGGCAAGGAGGCTGGGCTGACCAGGCCTTCTCCACGAACAGCAAGCTTCGGACCGCATCACTGGTCCGCTGGTGTTGGTGCATAATGCAGTGGTGGAAGCACGAACAAACGTCCTGCAGGGCATAGCATGTCTTGCCCTCGGCGCTGACTGGATCAGGCGGGATCATGTCAAGACTTTGCTGTTTCGGTATGCGAATGCGGCACCACCGCCTGCAACTCCTATGGGGAAGGTCGCATCAAGATCGACTTTATCTGGTCCGATTCAGGAAGTACACCAATGGACTCGAGTGGGCGCCACTGCGACGCTCAATGTCGAATGCCGGCAAGAAAGAGTCGGCGAACAATGTGGGTAGGAGTCGGCGCTAACCAATGCCGTGTTTGAAAGTGCTTCTCATTGTGCAGGCTGGCTGGCTGGCAGGTGCAGTCTGGCAAGTGCGAGCGGTATCGTGGGAAGCTGTGAACTGATCGACGGTGGATCAGACAGAGCGAACGAACGAGGCCTGACGAGATGAACTCGTTGGGGTCAGCATGATGGTGTACGGCTCCTCCAGGCTGATTCAATGCGTGCACGGTGCATCAACCAGCCTACGCTGGCTTCTCGAAGTAGATCACTGGCATCTGCCGTGACAGCAGAGATTGTGCAGCAGCAGGCCTCGATGGTCGCGGAGATTATCGTTTCACGAGGTCGAGGAATAAAACGCCGCCACGCACGTCCGTCTGAACTACAAACGACCTAATGTAGCGATGACACGGCTGAGGGCAGCGCTGAGGGGCCCAGTGTGTATGCTTCGTGATCCCACAGATGGTGGAAAGACGGCCCTGACGCGGCGGTTTAGTCAAGATCCGTCAAGATCCGTCAGCGATCGGTAAGGCGACACCAGCATCACGGCACATGCGTCATGATGCTTGGAGCCGTCAGCTTAACCGAGCCCGTTTTCATGCAATTAGATTGACATGTTGAGAGAAGACCGGGTTCGACTGTCGACAGCCACGTGAGCGAGCAGAAGTTGCCCAGGTGGGCCTGGACCTGGACGTGGGTCTGAGTCTGGTTCTGAGTCTGGTTCTGAGTCTGGGCATGGGGTGTGTGCGTGATTTGAAGTTTTCGAGATGCAGAGGGGCGGCCAGTCTGCCAGGACTGGCAGGAGGGTGATATCCCAGAAGTGGGGCTTCTTTGGGAAGGGCCCCTTGGAAGTCTCGGTGCTGATGGGCTGGCGGGAGGGGGTGGGTTTGGATGGGGTGGGTGGGCAGGTGGTCTAAGCCAGGTACGTACCAGGTACGTACCTCGGCTCGTCCCTTCCTCCCCTTCCACTGCTACCCACTCGCTACCGTCTTACCGCCACCTCCCCTCTGCAGATCGGTGACCGTGCAGTGGCCCAACACCCCAAGCTGCCCCAAGGTCCAGCCATCGTCGCGTCCCAAACGTGCTCATCCAGAGGTGAAGCTTCTGGGCGCGTCACCACTCTGACCAGCATCCAAGAACAACAGGAAAGCACCCCCACGATCCTATTGATCCTGTCCAGGAAGCTGCTGACCCTGGCCATCTCGCGGGCAGATTCATCATGCATCGTGCAACGCATGGCTCTGACAAGCCATGGTCTGCATGTCATCTCGAAGTCTGCACAGTCTTTGCAACATGGCACCCCACCGTTGGCTGTTCCGGTCGGCGCAGTTGTCGGCAGCTTTCTTTACTTTTCGGTTCAGAAGAAGGAGCTTCCTCGCCAGGTTCCATTCGGTCGGCTAGAACCTCGAACGGGGTCCGGCATAAGAGAAGGTGAAGGCTCGACGACGGCAGCGCTTCTCGGCGAATCGCAATCCCTCGTGGCTTGCTCGAGATAGATGAAGTCTGACGTTGACCAGATCTTGACACCTCAAGTCCCGGGGCCCCGACGCGGCAGCACGGGTACAATCACATCCCGATGGTCGTCCGCACTGGTCCTGACCTGCACTCTGCCCGTAATAATACTACGCAACTGTAATGAGCCCTTTTCTTCTTCTCGATTCGACGTTGCACTCGAGGCATCGAGGCATGAGCTTGACAGCCACCTATTGGCAGTCTGCTAAGTTAAGACTCATGACCGTCAGGGATGTGCCTGCTGCATGATCGGCTGATCATCTCCTTAGACGATCAGCAACATTGGACGACGGCTTTCATGGCAACAAGCAGTATAGCATGCGAACAACTCCACCCGCCAGGCCCATACTGACAGAACTGGGAACAGCAGCTTTCTATTTGTTGCCGCGTATTCAGGGCTGGCTTGGTTAAAACATGGGCTTCTAGCAGAGACCAAGAGCTAGGCGTCTGAAGAAGCACTGCGATGCGCGAGCTCCTCGCCCAGACTAACGAACTGCCCCAGATTGGGTTAGAGCCATGCTGCGGCAAGACTGCTCGCTGCCTCGCATTATTCCTTCCCAATTGTCTTGCTTCACGGTTGTCTTTCGATATATCTCGCCATGCCCTGGTCTCCCATCATATGGATTCCTTTGCCCAGCCTACCAGGATTCGACCCCTCCGTACGTGGTAGCCGTTCCGCGGCGCTGGAGCTTGGCACGAATCAGGGCCAAAGAGCTTGACCACTCCCGGCCCAGCTGCCGGTCGGCCCAGCTGAGAAAGGGAATGCTCACGGACACGAGAACGACACTGCATGTGGTGGACCTTGTCTGGTACGAGTGGATACTACGGTACTTGTATTCCGAACAGCAGTCTGGAAGTGCCTCGACCTAAGACAGGAGTGACCCAATGGCCCGGTGTCATGTCACTGTCGATAAGCCACGTCAAATATAGTGCCGGGGCCAGAGCCGCGGGCTCGCTGGCGGCTGCTGGTAGGAGCACGGGCTCCTCTGCGCTCTGAACACCAGACCCCCCAGAGCAGTAGCATGATGCGGCTGTTTCTGAAACTCGGGAGGTGGTGCAATCTCGACGAGACACGTGCGATTTCATGATCTTCGAATCGCGACAACCTATGGATCCAGCCTTATGGCCTCAGTGCCAAGATCACCCGTCTTTGCCCCGCTCCTTGTTGACTCACTCGGTATATGTGCCTGGCCAGATTTTGGAGATCTGATCCGGCCCTCTGTAGAACTAAGCCCCATGATGGAGTTTATGATCGACTTTTTGTGTCAGATTACCGAGACCGAGCCGAAGACGGCGATGGGCGGGACCCGCCCGCAGTATTGCTCGAAGAACATGGCGGAACAAGCCGACAAACTATCAGTCTGGCAGCAGATGGGCTTGATTTTGTGACAACAGGCCCCGGAACTGAGGCTCCTTCAGTCAGCTCTACTTCCGCAAGCGGTTCTCAGGTGGCGCCATGAACAAATTCCTGGAGGTCACGGGCTCAGGCTCTGGGACGGCCCGATATGGAGTCCGCCGAGGCGACGCTGCTATACGCGAAGGACACGAAATACGAGTCAAAACGAGTCCCAAGATCTCTAGACTACAACAATTCGAGAGCGGTCAGGCACAGTCAAGATAGCTCAGCCGAAATACCGGACTGTTCGAATTAGAAACGACCAGCCCCAAAACAAAACCACTGTGCCCAGGATTTTAGGATGCCGTGCCCCGGACTGCGATTCACCGGTACCAGAGCCAATCACTCCATGGTACTCCGTAGACCTCGGAACCTTTGTCAATGCCTCCGGTAGTTGCCTCCACAACCTTCTGCATGCACAATAGCCAGGTGCCGGCTGGGCGGGAACTGGGGTTCAGGAAGACATTCCTAATGGTCCCGGGGTCTGCCACGCGAGTGGGTTGCCGGGTGTCGAGTTCATTTTACATCAGACTCTGGAATCGGATCTGATACCAACAGAAGCCTGTCACTGTTAAGCGCGTTGGTTTGTCTCCTATGCGGAACCTTCCTTCAAATGTCAGAGGTGATGCAGTAAAAGATTAAGGGTCTTTCTGCTCGTCACACTGCAACTGCCTGCCATGGGGGCCCAGCTTTCATGCCCTGTGTGGGCAAATGAGACGCAATCTTGGCGGATGAGCTCGCACATGGGATGGCCAACGGTGCCTGAGGATGTGACAGATCCGGATAGAAGCATCATGGAGTGTCCCTGAAGCTGAAGATGCCGCGGTTTGGGGATAACTGGTTTGAGAGGTGCCTGGTGGCAGGCTGTGCGACCGTGACAGCACACGATGAATAATGGGGGGCGAGCGGGGCCTGTGGAGGCTCACCTCTGTTCAGGGACCCGTGCAACAGCCCCCAGTAGCCTGGCAATCCCGACCAGGGCTACTTCACAATTTTCGTCAACCCAGTTCCCGTAAATTTTCAAGGTTTCTATCCCCGCCTGCCCTGTTGCTCTGCAAAGCAAGCAGGCAAGTTGGTTTTGAAGCAGTGAACAAGAGCGGCACAGTCACAGCGAAACGCCTCACAGGAGATTAAGCTGCACCTTTCCCAAGACCATCACACCCGGGGCTTTGTCCACTTGGGACACTGGACGCTGGCGATGCCGACAGCAGAAGCAAGCCGCACTGTTGTGGCTGGCCGTGCAAGACGCAGGAGGTGCATCTGATATCCCTGACGTGACAGTTCGTCTACCGGCATGGCAATGATGACAGACGTGTGGTGCGACCCTGCTCTCGTCAAGATCCTTGCCCCGAGTGCTTAGATTCTAGAGTTGTGTGCGTGCATTATATCGCTTGCGAACTGCGATGTGCCTTTGGAGCCGCGGTAAGAGCCTACGTGCGAGACAGGTACGACATTAGTTAGAAGGTTGGCCAGGCACAATTTTAGGTTCAAAAGTACCGGTACAAGGCCAGGCATGTTGAGGCCGGCTGTCGTTGGTGCAAGGTACTCAGCGCCAGGGAGCCCAGGCCGATCCTATCACAGGCCATCCCTGTGGGCCGAGACCCACCTGCCCGGCGGGATTCTTCTGTCCCCACCATGGAAGGAAAGAAGCCTTCTCGCCCGCGTGAGCCTGTGAGTTCTGTTCCAGTTTGGACCGGAGCAGGCAGGCAAGCTCTCTCGTCTTGTTCATTCTTTTCCCTCGCCAGGCCTTGTTCGTTCCCTGTACTAGCTACACCCACTTTCATGCCCGCCCTGGACCGTCATACTATACCGCAAAAGTACCAGACTTCTGATGCGCTGCCGGCAACAGCAAAGTGATGAATCCCGTCCATGCTCAATTTCGTCACGCTCCTCTCGGCATGCACCCATCCCTTTTCATCTCAATCCCTCGGCAAGGCCACGGTATCAAACCTGGACCCGCAGCTGCTGGTCCTTCCATGATGACCGGTTTGACAGGGCAGGAAGGACTAACTCTCTCGCTGGGGGGGACCCCCCTCGGCCAACAACTCCCAAGCACAGTCGGGGTCAAGGTGGCGCCCGATGCCTCTGCTTGCACATTGACATCTCATCATGTCGCCTGACCTGGTATCCTGGCATCCTGACGGTGGGCACGCCCATCCACTGGGATTCACGGGAGAGACAGAGCATGCAAGCGCTCTACTTGGTATGGCATGTTCCGTTGGTTGCACTCGGCTCAGTCTGGGGATAGGCTCCGCCCGCCAACGGCCACGGCTGCGTGGTCCCGGCGGTCTAAACTGAGAGGCAGAGGCGCTGCTGGGCTGGGGCACGAGCAACGGTGTCGACCACCTCGGTGGACTGTGAGTATGGATTGCGAGGGCTGCAACATCACGAACCCCCAAGGCGAGTCGGGTATTTCCTTGGGGTGGGCCCTGTCCCCATGACCTCCTCCTCAGGCGGCTGTGGTGTTGCACCTGCGCCTTTGCCTGCCCTCACTCCATTCCAATGAGCTGGCTGGCCTCCAGGTTGTCGCTCCGCGGGCCCACGAACCCTCGACCCTCACTCCACGCTCGCTCACCCTCACGCTCCAGTCGAGCCCGAGGCCGAGCCCCCCTCCCTGCCCTCCATCCTCCATGGGCCATGATTAAGCTGTATGTACAGGCCCGGTCCTCTTGCCTCATGCAGAGTAGGCCCATTGTTTGGGGGCTGCGAACACGCTGCGCGACATGCCAGCATGCCCGTCTGCTCCTGTCCCTCGCCTGCGCGTGCAGTGCAAATCCTCCCAGAGAGGGTACCACAAGCTTATCCGCATCCTCGCCTCACGGCCCAGATGGCCAGAAGGAGTAGCGTCCTCTCCCCATCCCCCTCACCCCAGTTGCAAGCGCGGTCGAGTCCCTCCGGCGTGCCTCCACACGTGCGTCGCTCTCTCGGAGTCTGATTTCTGGGGCATCCTGCTGAACCCCCGCTCCGCCTCGCCTGCCATCTTGCTTCCCTCGTTCGAGTGCCTTTCATCATGGAGAGCTCGCCCATCCTTGTCCTACGGGTACCCAGCACGTCCTGCAGGTCAAGGCATCCTTACTCTGCGACCTGATCTCGACCAACCCTGCAATGCTCCCCCCTGAGTGCCGTGTACTATGTACACAGCTCGCCGGCCCCCCTCCCCTACCACCACCCCCTGATGGGGAACTGGATTGACTCGTCTGGTCTCTTTCTTGTCCGTTATTTACCATGTCGTCTTGGTCGCATCGCAGCAGCGTCAACCCCCGGTCCCTGGGCTCACTAGCCACTCCTGCCACCTCCACACCAGGGTCCACCACGCGTACCGGGTCCGGCTAGCCTCCCTTCTCATCTGCTGCTACTCCACACTCCCAGGTCGCCTCTAAGGTCACTTGCTTGCTTCATATTTACCGTGCCATCTCCTTTGATAGTCTCCTTCTTACCTTGGTGCTCTTCTCGAGTCTCCCAGAGTGACCCCCAAGCTCAACACCCACCACCATCACCACTACTGCTACTGCTACTGCCACACGCTGAGGACTCGTTGTCGTCGTCGTCCTCCTCCTCCTCCTCCTCCTGTATACACTTATTAGAGCAAAGGCCTCCTCGACGCCTGATACGGATATCAGGGAACCTTCATCAGCGATATCTCACGCTTGCGACCGGCACTGGAGGATGCGTGTGAACCACTGGTAGACTTCAGGGAGGACAACGGGGCTAGATCCCGCCATTTTGATCTGATATATTGGCACTGGTTGTCTTCTGCCCCGACGAATGCCCTTCATCACCCTGGGAATGACTGTTCCTTTCGAAGCGACCGGTGTCGCGCCACCTCCCCCAGGAGTACACTCAATCACAATGTCTCGACCCCAAGTCGGCATCGAGAGACTCCCTGCTCGGCGCATGAGCAACGAGCCTCGAGAGTCAATGAACTGCAAGTCATGCCGCAAGCGCAAGGTATGGAAGCCTCGGATCGCTGAGTGCTTTGAAAGCAAATTGTTGTTCGATTACCCGGTCCCACTCAACATCGACTGATTGTGCTACGATGTCTAGATAAAATGCAACCGGCTACGACCATCTTGTGAGGCTTGCCAGGTCTTCCAATGCCCCTGCGTCTATGGTACGTGAATAGCAGCGCATGTCAATGCCAAGGCCAGAAATTCTCCGTCTTAGTGAGGCGAGCGTGGAAGCTTACCATGTCAACTCTCCCGCGAGCAGATGCTGTGCCGAAGAAACGTGGGCCCAAGACAGATGTCCTAGAGGCACTCTTGAAAAGGGTAGATGGGCTTGAGGCCAAGTTGAAAAGCAAAAAGGAACAGCCGGGCCTACCGAGTTCAGAAACCGTCGCCTCTGCTACGGAAGAGGCGTCGTCGTCGGCGGTAGCAGAATCGGTAACAACAGCGCACCCAACCAGCACGGACGACGATGAAGCGAAACCTCAGCCGGTTATTGATACAGCACGGACGGCGGACGTAACAGAATCGGCTGTGTACACACCTACCTCGAGCAGGTATGTTACTTTTTCTTGCACTCGAGGGTGATAGCATGACTATCACGGACAACTGAACTTAACCACTCTTCAACAGCGCTCCATCGCCCCCAGGCATTCAACCTGACGCCCTTCTCGACACGTATTTCTCCAGATTCCACGCCAAACCGTTCTACATCCTCGATGAATCGTCCGTTCGGCAGAGGCTGCAATTGAATCAGCTTCCAACGTACTTGGTCCACGCCATATACGCCGTGGCTGCCCGGTAAGCAGCGTGCAACTGATTCTAATTTAGTATGGCTAATCCCCGAATAGGTATACACCTCATCCGAGCGGATACCAATCTGCGGTTAAGCTGAGCGAGGAACATGCTACACGCGCAAGGATGGAGATCGACCTTGATGAGCCATCCATCGATGCTTTGCAGGCTTGTCTTCTTCTGGTTACGGCCTTTACCGCAGCTGGAAAGGGGAAGAAGGCATACATGCTTCTAAGTACGATCTTGTTATTGTTGCTCTGTATCAACTGCTAATAAACGTAGCCAATGCTGTCGGAATGGCCATGGCACAGGAGCTGCATCGAGAAATGGATCCACGAGCAGGCGTCACGCCAGTCGAACGCGAGACGCGACGGAGGCTCTTCTGGACGTGCTACTTGCTTGATCGATTCATGGCTTGCGGGTCAAAAAGGCCATGCTTGGCTGGCGACAAAACCATTTTGCTACGTCTACCGTGCTGGTCACCGAATCCAGCAGCACTACCGATCGAAGGAGAGTTCTTCCAGAGCGCTTCCAGTCTTCAGTATCTGCAGGGCGCTGGAAAGAAGTCACAAGGGAGCAGTGGGATGCTGATCGACATCAGCCGAATTCTCGGCATCACAAACCGGTATCTTGCAGCAGGAGGCGTCAAAGGCGACTCCCATTTCCCATGGCACTCCCTCTCCAACCTGTCGAAAATCCGACAAGACTTGGACATATGGGCTTCTGGCACCGAGGACGTTTTCTCGAGCCTCGATACCCTCTTTGGCCAGAACGACTCGACCGTTCTCGTGCTCAGCAAGCTGATCTACCATCTGATACACTGCCTGATCTACCGGCCTTTCCTCCCGATCGATCTGGCGGAGCTGGCGGGCAATGGCCAGCACCAATCGTGGCAGATCGAGGCCACCAACATGTGCTTCCTGCATGCCAACGCAATCGCCGAATTGGTAGAACTCGGGAAGCAGACGGCGACCATCGAGTGGCCTGCATTCGTGGGTTACTGCATCTGCACGGCCGGCACGGTTCACATCCACGGCGCACATTACAGCAAACTTGGCCCTGGTGGAGAGATGAGCGTCTTCAACTCGTCCGCCGAGTTCCTCTCCAGGGAGATGCAGCAACTGAGCGAGTTGCGATATGCTTGGGCCAGCGTGCAACACCAACGCGAAACACTGCAGAGCATCTTCAACGCGCACACCGAACTAGTCAAGAGCTTCGCGAACATGCGGTATTCTCCTGCCTTCCAACTTGAGGATTTCTTCGATCGATACTCGAACATTGGTGGGCCAGGTGGCCAGACCTTTAATTTTGACGCTGCCAACCTCAGCCTAGCTGACGTCGTGGTTGACTTCACCGCTGACGCATATACTGGGCACGACTTGTACGCACCGCGGGATCAGGGTTCTGAACGACCAAACCTCAAACGCAAGCCAACCCTGCAAGGAGGCCGACGGAGAGCAGACTCGAAGTCGCTGGCCCCGTTGGCCAGCAATGTCAATATGAACACACACATACACACAGGCTTGCCAACGCCATCACAGCCCCGACACCCGGCATTTTCGACACACGGCATGCCAGTCCGCCCGCCACATCCCTCGCCGGCGATGCTCCACAGCCCTGCGTCGATTGCGTCCCACGCGGGGCTTCCAGAACATGGACACATGAATGGTATGCAGGACTCCGACGAGATCGCGAACAATGCCGCCATGGCGGCTGCTGCTGCTGCTGGCTTCTCCATCCCACAACATCCACAACATCCTCCACCTTCGCAGCCCCAAGCCAATCCTTTCAGCCCCCCTTATGCGAGTTTTGGTCACATGCCTGGTTCGACCCCCGGCCCCGCCTCCCCACCGAACAATCAGAACAACACGAGCGGAACATCCTATGACCCTATGTTCGGTGGTTTGCCTACTAACGCTTTCTCAAGTCCCGCCGCATGGAATGGCAATGAGGGAACTCCCAGACCAGCAGGGGTTCAGCTGGCACCTAGTCCAGGTGGAATGAGCAACAACGGCAGCACCGGCACAGGGCCAGGCGAGGAGAAGGACCCGTTCCTCAGCCTACTGGAGCAGCTTGCAGAGAACGAGAATGCACGCGGGCCGGGATCCGAGTTCGACTTCTTCTTCGCAGGCACAGCTCCGCAATGAGAAACTGAGCTCGATTTTCACCGGCACATAACGGGACACTTGAGTGTTGGTTCTACAACGAAGCATCAACACGATCCCGTCTCTTCAAGAACTCTACCTCATTTATTTTGTTCTTCCGACCACCACCACATTATTACGCGGCGCTCAAATTGATTTGCTTATGGAGCGGCACTCGGTGTTTTAGACGGAGGGAAAATCCAAATGTGAACGGGATGTGGCATGATTAGCACCGGAACTGGCTTCTGTCGTTGACAGCAGCTCGCCACCAACTTGGAATGAATTCAAGCAGTGTGCCTTGGACTGCAACACCAGCTTGCATAGAACCTGGCATAGTCTTGGATATGATTTGTGAGGGTCCTGCGCGTCCAAGGCCTGGAGACCTTGGAAAGCAGGGGCAAGATATTTTTATTCTCCAGTCTGGCCTGAGATGGAGGACAACGACGATGATGATGATGAGGTCTGACGATGCCCATCTACGTTGAGTTTGGCCCGGTATACCAATGGGTCAACAAATATATGTATCATATTATTGCCTAGTATATAGTATGCCACGAGGCTTCGGATCAACGGAGCTTGATACCCCCAAGGGTAACGACCTAGACGTACTGCAAGACATGTCTTTGGAGAATACACTTTCTCCGCCTCAACTCAACCAACCTCAAGCATCAAAGCGGCTTCACCAGTGAGAACAAGCATCATCTCTGTCAGCCGGGAGCCGGTCCCCAGCCTGCCCAGGGGGTGGGGCACAGGTACCTCCCTGCAGAGGGCCCAGGACGGGCTGAAGCCCTCCGTGGCCCTCCAATTATGGGGGCCGGTCAAGAGAGGCAAAGAAGTCGATTGCACAGTACCCAAGGCTTGGTCGGGCGGGCTGGAGGGTCACAGCCGAGGCTTTTCCGACCTCTGGCGGCGATCATGGGGTATCCTTGCGGACAGGGGTGCCACGACTTTCCCTCTCCCTAACCCCAGACAGGCTGACAGGGGCATTGTACTCTTATCTGTCTTTCTGGGGGAGAGCCGCAGGCGGATCCAGCGATGTGACCTCTGCGCTTGCTCGGCGGAAATGCGACCTCATAGCCGAGGCCTGCTATTGCCTGCACTGTACTGGTACCTGTACCTGCTACTTTGTGCCTGGACTGGCTTTTTTGCGAACAGACCTGAATTATTTCCTCTCTTGGACACGGGCATGGACACGTATCGAAGAGGTTTCCCACGGAATGGTCGCATTGGTGCGCTTGTCTGTCAAGTCACAATAGGGGAGGCTGTTCGGTCCACACGAGAGCCTACTTCTGACTTTGTGTGATGGGTGATGAGTTATGGGTGATGAGTTATGGGTGATGAGTTATGGGTGATGAGTGATGGTTGTGTGGACGACTGCAGGTAGTCTGTCTACTCATGCATGTGGTCATTTAATGCCCCGGCGCCGCGTAGTCTACCAATGTTGAGGTGCAAGCTCTACCGGTAGTTAGCGGCGTCGGAATTCTCTGGTTCATGCGCTGGTAGTGGCATTCGAATCTTTGGTTCGACGGGTTCTAGCCCAAATGGCTCAAATACCACCTCGATGGATGGGCACTGCGTAAAATATATGCACGGCATGCTTGATTGGGAGCCGCGTCCAAGTGGACTGACTACACCACATCGCGCGTCCAAGGATAGATGAGACTGCATACACAATGCCTGTAAGATGTTTACTACGCGCGCTGCCGTGCATACCTATGGACCCGAGCGTCCCAACAGCACAGGAGATGCACGTCTTCGTTTGTTTGGCAGCTCTTGCGAGATGAGACGAATTTCTGTTGGGAGCGGTGCCCCTGCCACAACCACACCAAACTGCACCGCACCTGGGCACAGAAAACGACACGACCCCAGATCCCTGGGCAGCCCATCACCTCCACCACCGCCACCACCGCACCACAACCACACCACCCATTACAGTGTCAGTGCTTTGCACAACTGCTCTATCGACCGGCATTCCATGGCTCTCCCAGGCGTTACTGATGACGCATTGTGTCACCAGCGTCACACTGGACAAGGTTTGACGGGCCGTCTTGACATCGGATGTGGGTCTCCGGCCGCCCTGCCATGCGGTAGCAAAGTGCGAAAGCTGGCCGCCGGCGAAGCAGAAGCGCAACGCCGTCCCCTTTCCCGCCAGCGTCTATGATAAAGGGCCCGCTGTCACCCACTCCTCCTCGGGGCCTCCTCGGGGGAGCCGGGCTTCAGATTCATTGCCAGCCGCCTCAGATTCGTGTGCCCCGTCGTCAGCCACCAAAACACCTCCGGACAACAACTCTGAATATCGCAGGCACAGGAGAGGACGACGGGTGTGTGTCTAGGGTGCTTGCTACCCGCGCACCCAAGCCGTCTTCCCGTCTGATATCGCAATCCCGGCCCATATCGCGGCGTACCTGCGCATCGGGAGCGAGGATGTTCCCACACGTCAGGCTGCTGTCAACCCAGGGGCGTGGGCGCGAGGAAGAGAGCCAGTTATAGATTGTCGTGAGTCACATAATGATCTAGTTTTCCCCAGGGGGCGGGGGGGGGGGGAGCGAGAAAAAACACTCAGTTGATCGATCATCAGACGAGAGAGCGAGGATCTCCTCGGGGATCTGTAAATCTGCCGTCGTTTCAAGTCCGTCGAGAATCTGGGACTCGCATGTGGAGCCCACCCAGCCCGCGGCTCGTTCGTGGGCCGCCCCCCATGCCAGCGTGAAGGGCTGATAGGGAACCGACGAGGGGGAGTGGGTGGTTGCTGATCTTCCAATCGCAATTGATATATCGTCGTAAACTTCCCGAGCCACTCCTACCGCCGAGACGAAAACCTTATTTATAGCGTTCCACGGCTCCTGTCATCCCAATTGGTAGGATGCCGTCTTAGTCCCGCAAGGCCCTGTGCGAGGCGTTCTCGACTGCCGAGGAGACAACCCGGGCCCTCCTCCCCGGGGCGTGGTGACGTCCAGCGATGAGGGCTGGACATAGGCATGAAAAGATCCATCAGGGTTCGAGCTCCTACGTCGCCAGTGCTTAAGCAGCTCGCGTGCGCGGTCCAGCGGAGAGGACGCGTTTTGGAGTGCGTGGTATGCTGCCCTCCGTGTCCTGGCCTCGATCACGTCCAAGGGCCTCTTCCGACAACCGTCATCGGCACCATCATGAAGCCATCTCTGTGACAGCTGCTACACCAGCCCACCCTTCCAACGCTCTCTAGGTGAGACGGCTCCACGGCACCCGGACGGCTCCGCAAGCCCCCTTATCATTAGCAGGCTGCTCCGGGTCTTCCGGCGGAAGCAGGACCCGGCAGAATGACGCGCTCCCTAACAACAGGATTTCCTCCTCCCCGCTGCCGGGATCCCGAGTGGAGAGTCCCGCGTCGTCAAGGAACGGCCCATCTCGCGTGTGCGTCTCACGTTTCCCGGCCCTTTGCTTGTCGTGACTCTGAGGTGAGAGCTGCTGCTATCCCTGCCATAGCATCTTGTCCAGGCTCTACTTGAACTCTAGCAGGCGTCATCTCCCTGGCATCTAGCCGCGTCTTAGTCTACCTTGTGATCCTGGGGCGGTTGAACGACCTACCCTGCCAGTTCCTATATGCCACCCGTCTTATCACTGCATTGACGAGCCGTTGATTCATCACTAGGGCTTGGGCGGGGGGGGGGGTGAGTTCGTTTGCACGGGTTTGTCGGGATCGTCGTTGCGATGTCGGGCTCGGTGTCTGAGCTGGGAGACTGGCAGGGGTCTGACGCATGGCAGCTCATGGCCGGTACATGTGCGAACATGTGAGAGTTTTGTTTCGTGTGTGGGTGAAGTGGCGGTGCCGTTGGATGCCAGCTGAAATTGCGTACTCCCCAAGCCGTCCATCCGGTTATCCACGCTAAGGAGGGGCTTGGGAACTCGAGGAGTAGTTTGAAGACAGCTCTGGATGGCTAGCACTGTTTTCTTCTGTTCTGCCAAATCGAGCGACCTCCACTTCGCGTTAGAGTCAATGATGGTGGCCTTATCAAATGACAGATTTCTCGAGTCGACAGTGAACAATTACTTGCTGCCTTAACCTATAATAGTCAAGGAAGGAATCAACTTGACGGTTTTGATAGACATGGCTTTGATCCAAGTGTAGAAATTGCGCCCTGGACGATTGTCATGATTGGGTGACGCAACGTTGGGTGTTTTGGTGTCATGTCGTCGGGCTGAATTCAAGAACAAATTTGAAACTAGCCTTCCGGAGTCTGTGTGCTGATCATGTTACTTCTCACTGCTAATATTCAAGTGAATATCAATTCCTCTCTCAGCAGTTAGTTCGGTCCTCAGTGATCAAGGTTGGAGCCCCGAGAACATAGTAATTCGGGTTTGGACAAGACATTTGATAGATGCTTGGTGATAAGTTGGAGAAATACACTCTGCTATTGGAGGCACGATGACGGAGCTGAATTAATCCCAATCGAGGAAATCATGTACGTAGAGAGTATATACTATTGAATTCTTTGAGTTCCTCTACTACGCCGGAGCGACAATGATAGTCCTAGTGGGACAAGAGACAATGTATTCTGTAGACAATTATACACACGTACGTAGAAAACACTTCTTTGAATTACTTGAATAGCTATCTCGATGCGATCGTACCCAGAAAGGTGGCGAAGGACGAAGCTATCAGATAATCAAGTGCAAGAAAGCATAGCATAGATACCGATGCTATGCTCTGGGAAAAGAGCTCTGTCCATGGTTCAGTTCGAGAGTCTGACCATATACATCCACCCAGGTATCACTTATATCTTGACAGCTGTAATCGAAATCATGGTGTATAAATTTGATCATTTCCACAATCAAACGTGAATCAACTGGTTGGTAAGACTTCATCCTGCATCCTCCAGTTTGATGAATGTGAGATACATAGAAATAGGCCGTACTCAAGTGCTCTAACTATCGGTAATAAGTCATCCTCCGGAATCGGAAACATCTCGTGAAACTACAAGGCTGCGGAAAGACGAATCCCATTTCTCACAGAGCCTGTGAGCAGG